TGAACTCTAGTCCCCCCAAAAATTTCAATAAAATATATTCACTATTGTAGGAGTTATGGCTGTTTGAAAATTGGTCCAGTTTTTTTAATTTTGCGGAGTGAAGGAATAACTTTTCGAATATTTTTGAAATTTCCACATATTCTTCGCCCAAATACGCGTTGTTTGCGTGTTGAAACGTTAGAATCGTCCAATCCGTTCGGGAGTTATGATGTTTCAAAGATTCGCATGAAATTTCAGGGAAGCCTCACATTAGATTTTCGGGGAGGAATTTTTTTCTCGAAAGTGGGTAGGATTTCGGGGGTACGTGTATTCACCAAAAATGATTGTAATTGACCCCTGTAAGCGAAAATAATTTTTCCCGAACGATTTGAAATTTTTTCTTTTCGTCGAAAATTTAGGCATCCCTACCTTACCGACTTTTCACAAAAATTCAATTCTTCCTTTTTAATCAATTTGGTTGGCGCTGTATAGAAAAGTTTTTTAACACTTTTTTGCAGGTATCCATGAACTCTAGTCCCCCCAAAAATTTCAATAAAATATATTCACTATTGTAGGAGTTATGGCTGTTTGAAAATTGGTCCAGTTTTTTTAATTTTGCGAAGTGAAGGAATAACTTTTCGAATATTTTTGGAATTTCCACATATTCTTCGCCCAAATACGCGTTGTTTGCGTGTTGAAACGTTAGAATCGTCCAATCCGTTCGGGAGTTATGATGTTTCAAAGATTCGCATGAAATTTCAGGGAAGCCTCACATTAGATTTTCGGGGAGGAATTTTTTTCTCGAAAGTGGGTAGGATTTCGGGGTTATGTGTATTCACCAAAAATGTTTGCAATCAACCCCAGCAGCTAAAAATAATTTTTTTGGAATGATTTGAAATGATTTTTCTTAAAAATACGTCTCTGATTTTTAATAAATTTGTTTGAATTTTTCCCAGGTGAAAAATTGTTACAGATGTATATTTTATTGAAATATTAACAAAATGAGATTTGTATTTAATCGAAGATAAGTACTCGCGAGTAACCATAGCTGGTTGAACAATGGGAGAAAAATAAACGATTGGATTGGAATGGAAGATTAATCTGGAGACTTCAATGCTTCCTCTGTCGAAGAGGAAGGTTCCTCGTCGCGAGTGCGACAGCCATATTGTTCACCTTCCTTCTGTAAATTCCTTATCGAAGTTAATTGCTATTTACGATGCACTTATTGTTATTTTCATTAGAATAACAATCAGAATTATTTTCTTTTTTTGCTGATATTTTGCTGATATTCTGAGCTAGAATTAAATTTTAATATTGCTAAAATATGATTAAAATATGATGATTATAATTACCTCGAAATATTTCAAGAAACATTTCCAACGAGAAGTATGTAATACTAATACATTTGAAATAGAAATACTATAAAAATAGAAGAATGTATATCAAAGTGATTGATCAGCACATTTATTATATTCTGCATATAAAAAGAATATTTTGGATATTTTTAAATATTGCAGTAATGTATCTGGAATATTTTCAAGACGATATTTTTTTTTCTGCAATATTTTGAATGCTCATAATATTTATAAAATATACCATATATTTGTACAGAATTTTTGTAAGATTATTGTGCATTTTTTATTTAAAAAACAGCGATCCCTGAGGATCGTTGTATGGATAATTGTCGAGCAGTTATTTCCGTTAAAAATTCGCGATTTACGATCGATCCAAGGCGCGGCTGTACAATGCTCGTGAAAGAAAAAAATGAATGTTTTAACAATTACACAGTCTGGAAATTTGCGGCGATCACGCGTGTCCGTGGAGCTGAAGCGGACTTGATAAATTTAAAATAAAATTGATCCGACCGTTTGGCGCGCTGCCCTGACCCAGTTCGAGTACTGTTCCCGTCTCCGGCGAACAAGATGACGACGCTACGAGTGTCGAGGATCGCCTCGGGGGAATCGCCGCCCTCCGCGTCGGAATCCTCGCGAACACTGGTGAATCGAGTCGTTACGAAAAAGTGTTGTAAGCCAAATTAAAGAAAAAAAACGAATAAAGTTTCTATTAACAATATTTAAAAAAAAACATTATCTCTGTTTATAAAAAGTGGTTTCAACCACCACAAGGTAAATGTAAATTGTCTTACGATCGTGTGGACTGAAATTCAGTTTCTAAATAAATTGTAAATATTAAGAATATTGTTAAAACAATACTAGGAAAAATACAAGGGCACGATGGGACTTATTATGACGATAATTTTAAAAGCTTTATATATATAAGATATCTAATTTGAGTGATACGTTTTTAGAATTTTTTTAAAATAACATTGCAATTTTGTAATAATTGTACAATTTTTAATTGGTCTCGATTTAAATGAATATTTATAAGATAACAAATTTGAGTGAAATATTTTTAGAATTTTTCTAGAGACCAAAATCAATTTCTTGACTGAGTCTTCGTAAAAACGTTATTAAAAAATTAAATTAAAAAATTCCAAATCATTCTGATAAAATTATTTTTGATTGCAGGGGTCAATTACAATCATTTTTGGTCATTACACATAACCACAAAATCCTACGCATTTTCGTGAAAAAAATTCGTTACAATGAAATTTCATGCGAATCTTTAAAATGTCATAACTCCCGAACGGATTGGACGATTCTAATGTTTCAAAATGCAAACAACGCGTATTTGGGTGAAGAATATGTGGAAATTCCAAAAATATTCGAAAAGTTATTCCTTCACACCGCAAAATTAAAAAAACTGGACCAATTTTCAAACAGCCATAACTCCTACAATTGTGAATATATTTTATTGAAATTTTGGGGGGGACTAGAGTTCATGGATACCTGCAAAAAAGTATTAAAAAACTTTTCTATACAGCGCCAACCAAATTTATTAAAAAGGAAGAATTGAATTTTTGTGGGATATCGGTAAGGTAGGGATTAGATACCCAGATCTAATTCAGATCTAATCCAGACCTAACCCAGACCTAACTCAGATCTAACTCAGATCTAATCCAGACCTAACCCAGACCTAACCCAGATCTAATTCAAATCTAATCCAGACCTAACCCAGATCTAATCCAGACCTAACCCAGACCTAACCCAGACCTAACCGAGACCCTAGATCTGGGTTAGGTCTGGGTTAGGTCTGGATTAGATCTGAGTTAGGTCTGGGTTAGGTCTGGATTAGATCTGAGTTAGCTTTGGGTTAGGTCTGGATTAGATCTGAATTAGATCTGGGTTAGGTCTGGGTTAGGTCTGGATTAGATCTGAGTTAGGTCTGGGTTAGGTCTGGATTAGATCTGAGTTAGCTCTGAGTTAGGTCTGGGTTAGGTCTGGATTAGATCTGAGTTAGCTCTGGGTTAGGTCTGGATTAGATCTGAATTAGATCTAGGTTAGGTCTGGGTTAGGTCTGGATTAGATCTGAGTTAGGTCTGGGTTAGGTCTGGATTAGATCTGAGTTAGCTCTGGGTTAGGTCTGGGTTAGGTCTGGATTAGATCTGAGTTAGGTCTGGGTTAGGTCTGGATTAGATCTGAGTTAGCTCTGGGTTAGGTCTGGATTAGATCTGAATTAGATCTGGGTTAGGTCTGGGTTAGGTCTGGATTAGATCTGAGTTAGCTCTGGGTTAGGTCTGGATTAGATCTGAATTAGATCTGGGTTAGGTCTGGTTTAGGTCTGGGTTAGGTCTGGGTTAGGTCTGGGTTAGGTCTGGGTTAAATCTATTTAAAACAAAATAAATCTATTCCCTGGGGTAATAAGGTCATCTATAAATCCAGACCTAACCCAGACCTAACCCAGATCTAACCCAGACCTAACCCAGACCTAACCCAGACCTAACCCAGACATAACCCAGACCTAACCCAGACCTAACCCAGACCTAATCCAGACCTAACCCAGACCTAACCCAGATCTAATCCAGACCTAACCCAGATCTAATCCAGATCTAATCCAGACCTAACCCAGATCTAATCCAGACCTAACCCAGATCTAATCCAGACCTAACCCAGACCTAACCCAGACCTAACTCAGATCTAATCCAGACCTAACCCAGACCTATTGATAAATTACAGTTTCTCAATAAGCTAAAGTAATACTTGTTAGTCGAATCTTTATGCAGTGATACTTGTTCTAACAAGTTGTTTATTTTATTTCTGCGCCCTAAATTCATAATATTATAACATAATATTAAAAATTAATTTTAAACAAATTTCTTTACACATTAGTCATTCTTTCACGATGCAGTCATTTTGACTGCTTTTGGGCAATATAGGTACATACTAAGTTTCAGTCTTTCTAGTGTTAAATATTTCAAATCTTGTGCAAAAGTATTGCTATAATGTTTCCTGCCGTACGGGGGCTATAGTTAATTACAAAATCGCGATAACCTAACTATCATTGTACGAACGTGTTGTCCACGGTGAATAATTGTACGGTTCATTACGTATCAAGTACTCGTACACGGTTTCAGGAAACGATTACGTCTTGTTACCGATCGTACATATCAAATAGGAGAAATATACGATACCACGTGTAATAACCAACAATGGAGAACCGCTGGATTTGTGTTAGTCAGCGTAAGGTCCAGTATAAGGCCCTGGGGTGATTCGCCTAGACGGCCATGACCATATTACGGGCCAGAGGCCCCCCCCAATACATGTAAGTAAGCTCACTTCCACTAACAATCGGGGAAATCATTTCGCGTGTTTACAACACGACTCGAGTTTCTCAAATAAATTTCTGCGAGATTCACATTCATCGTCGCGAATTTAAATATTCAACGAAACTTCATCCTATTTTCCAGAACACATAGAACAATATAAATCATGTCATTAAAAATATTTTCGAAAATGCAGAAAGTTATTTTCTAATTATAGAAACTTAAAATTCCAAACGCCTTTCATTGTTCAGAAGTAAAAGAATTGCGTTCGTAAATTTGAAAATGCATACGAATTGTAGGTTAAAAAAAACGTAGGAAAAGAATCGTAAATTTTATACATTTCATATTTATTTACATTACGAAAAAAATTTACATAAATTCGTTCATTTCGATCATAACCTCTTCGTAAATTAATCGTCAACGGTACTGCGGGCAATGTTGCTTTATTATCGACCTCGAGATATCTGCATGACCTGTGACACGAAAAATAAATAAAATCGCGTAAAAAATGTCACGGAAATATTATTGATATTACCTAGTTGCAATTCTATGTATAACGCTAACATTATTACGTGGATAGGAACATCGCAATCTGGACCCTTCGACATCCAAACCTAAAAGATCCAATATTATCCAAACGTTCAAATAATATAACACATTTGATAAGTTATGAGTTTACCGATTACCTGTTTCAAGATTTCTCCAGATTTATCAAGTTCACCGCGAATTGCATAAGCCACAGCTAAATTATAGTGAAGTACTGCGATGCCTGTAGGAACGGCTGTTGGGTACCACGCTGTAAAACATAATAATCACTTTAAATACAAATAACACCTTTACGAGAGAATCAAAGGTTTTAAATTAGATTCACACTTTTTATGGGTTTCGAGATAACCTCATCGACTTTTTCCTTATCTTTATCCTGCGTTTCAGGAATAGGTACGAAAGTATTCAAGTCTTGAATGTTTTCTAGTTTAAGATACTCGATTGCTTCGCTGATTTTATCCATGAATATCAAACTTTCAGCAGCGTAAAGGTTTCCCAACATTCTGTATGCCCCGGGTAACTTATTGATGTTTAATAGTGACTTGGCATGCTCAAGCGCTATAACATAATCGCCCAGACATAAACATACGTAAGCCGTTGCGGCTAGAACACTGATTTTCAAGTTTAATGCTTCGACAGCTGTAACTTGCGATATCAAAGTTGAGTATTGAGCACCTAAAGAATTATCCTTTTAATTATTAACAATAATAATCATATTCAAAGAGTATCTTTGCATCATTTAAGAGTATAAATTGCATACCTAGATTATGCCCAGCTGTCAGCGACAAAGGTACTGTTTGCGGACTAGCAATCGTTGTGATTGGAACATTCGGTTCGTTTGGTAATAAAAATAGTGCATTCTTTAAACAGAGCGATGCGAACTCTAAAGTTACTTGTGGTATAGCGGAAGGAAAACCTTCGGAATGATACTTAGTATCCTTGGAAAGGGAAGACGCCAGAATAATTTTTCTATAAATTCCAGAGCCGATAACTTTCTGCACCAAATCCTTCCTTCGTTTTGGAATATTAAAATCGACTTCGTTCGTCTGAAAATGATACTCTTGTTTCCAAAAATATTATAACACGTGATGGACGAACTTACCGGTTTGTGACAGTAAACGCAACACTCTGCGATCCTCAGCCAAAGTTTCGGATTATTATGAAGCTTTTGAGCAGCTTCCATGAAACAATCGAAGGCAGCCGTTGCTTGGCCTGCGTGCAATAACGACACACCCAAACTATACATTAATTCGTAATGCCTATTCCCACTGAGTGTATATAATGGTTGCGATGACAGAGGATCTAAAATCGTTCTCATTAATAGACATTTTTTGTATATGAAATTAACTGTTATGCTTACCGCTGTCTTTGGCCTGCACGCTTTCTAATGTACATTTGTTTTCGTGTAAAGCTTTTCGTAAATAAAAGCAAGCTAAATTCGGTTTACCCATCGAAAGATGTAAACACGCCATATTGTTGTAATACAAAACAGCGGGAGACTCTCCACACGTTCTAAAATTAATAAAAATATTATCAACGCAACGTACTGATAATTCTAAGCACAATTGGACCTCGATAAATCTCTTTAAGCTGAAAGCCTCCGTGTTGAAATTTTATTCAGTTCCTTTCGCGAAACCTTGATAATTCAGAAAGTAAACAAAAGTTAACTGTTCGACCCAGATTTAAACTCTACAACGCAGCTGTCATTGCGCTCTATTCGCTGTACTCTATTTTCAATCATCGTAACTACATTCTCTCGGATACCTCCGAATATCAAAACTTTTCTACGCCTCGAAACCTTAACAAGACAGAGGTTCTGTAACTCGAAACATTTCTCATTTTCCTTCGATTTCGATTCATCGACATTAAACAACTCGTAAAACAATTATAAACGTACTTGAAATCTAAATTCTCTGACGTTACAGAGTTCAGTAGCTTGATAGCTTTTTTGTAATTTCCTCTTAAATATTCGAGGTTGGCTTTTAAAAATACAGTTGATATATTCTGAAAAAAAAGGAGGATTTTAAGTGAAATAGAGAAACAGACTTAACGGAAATGATTTAATAATATCTTACTACGGGTGTACCCAAGGAAACTAGCGTTTTCCATTCCCTTTTGCACAGTTTCAATTGATGCATCATAAGATATATTCTAGCTTTGCATTTCAATAATTTTATCTTGAACGCATCTGTGACTACGTCTACCTCTTTTTTCTGTTCCTTTTGCTCCTTCATTGATTTCATTATGCCCTCTTTATCGACGGGAGTAATTTTAGAATTATCCGTAGATATGAGCTGATTTTCTATATAATTAATTAAGGACAACGCTGCTTCCGGTTGATCCGTCACTATATGCAATTCTATCAGAAGGAGACAAACTTTATGCGCAAGCGATTCTTCTAAAAAAGAAAATGCATAACAATACCGATTAATTCATCGGGATATTCATTATTCGTTACTCTTTACGTACCCATAGGTTCTATAAAAGCGAATAATCTGTTCATAATTTGAAGCGCTGCGCTATATTGTCTCGTATGGTATAATATAACTGCTTGATTATACCTCATAACGCATTTCTCTATGTCGTCTATAGTTTCAGTCATATCAGTCGTAGACATTTGACCACATATCGCGTTCAGACTCTTTCTTAACAATTCTGTTTTCTTCAAGTCGTTTTTATAACACTCTGCTACAACTTTATTATGCATTACTTTCAAGTCTTTGGGCCTGAGAGTTTCTAGTTTGTTTAAATGTGACAAACAGCTAACGTATGCTCCCTTCTGAAATTCAGAATGCGCATTTTGCGCCAACTCTCGTTCTTGTTCCGTTATAACCGCCGAACCGATATCTTTGTTCTGCGTTTCAGACGTCTCGCTCATATTTGTTTGTTGTACAATAATATGTCGCGTAATAAAATCTTATAATGTTCCCACGATATTTAACCTCGTCGTAGCTTGACGATAAACTTCTCAAAAAACCACATTTAACACTTGTAGAGGTTAAATTTATATAAAAAAAATTATAAAGGATCTTCGCACTCTGTAATCAAAAACTGTTCGAATCAGGTGTGTGCAAATTATAGTAAAGTGGTTATTAATTAAAAATAATATTAAAATAACAGTGCATATTGGTATATTCAAATAAATCTGAAAACTTACCGAAACCACGAACGAGGTACAACATAGATAGTCAATGGAACTTTCTGTCCCTCATGATCGAATCGATCTATCATTTTCAAAATTTAAATTTAAATTGCTGTTACATTGTATTGATGTAATAATGAAAGATTAAAATTGTTTTATTTCCATTTCTGTATTGATCGAATTTTTCCAATTAAAATGAGATCAAACGAAGCTCTGGGTACAAGGAACACGTGTCTTTAGTGGTAATACCGTATATCCCTAGGCATCCCTATATAGTAACTACGTAGCAGTGATGCTAGATCGAGCACCGAGTGCACCACTCACACTATGCCAGATCACGCATGCGTGAGCTCGTGGAGTTTCGGAGAGTCGACAAAGGCAAACTGACGCATGCCCTCTCTCTCGATTCTCCGAAGCTGCCCGAAGTAACTTCGGGCCGTCTCGTGGGTGTCGAGAGAGGAAGGCACATTTGCCTTCTCGCTCTTGAACAAGTGAGATTCGACATCGCGTCGATGGCGTACGATTCCAAGTCTCGACTGCCCAGGTATTTCTTACTTTCCGACTTATGTATGTAGACGAACATAAGCAAGGTACTATAACGAACAAAAATTTAGTGAAATACCCGTTTTAAGACCCCCCGATCATATTTGAATTATTGAACAAAAATAAATTCTTTTTCATTATTCCTATGTCTGACCGTACATATGTATATCATTTCGGATATCGCTTCTGATACATCTGGCAACGTATAACCATTACTGCCGGCTACTGCCAGCCTCTCGCAGCCTCTGCTGGCTTCTGCTGGCCACTGCTGACCACACCTGATACTTCCGACAACGTATAACGATTACTACTGGTTACCGCCAGCCTCTCCTGACCTCCGCTTATATTTCTGACATCGTATAACAATTACGACTGACTTCTGCCAACCTCGGTTGGCCTCTGCTGATCATTGCTGATCTCTACATGCCTTTACTGGTGGCTAACTTGAGTTAACAGGTAATGTCATAAAATTGTTTTACCTAGTTATACCCCTTTTTACCCGAAGTATAAGGCACGACTAAATGTACTTTTCAATTTTCCTACAGTCCTCCGCTGGCCACTGCTGACCGTTGCTGACGACTTCTGATACTTCTGACAACGTGTAACGACTACCACGGGCTACTGCTTGCCCCTGCTGGTCTCTGCATGCCTATGCATCCCTCTGCTGACCGCTGCTGACCACTCCTGATACTTCCGACAACGTATAACGATTACTACGTGTTACTGCTTGCTCCTACTGGTCTCTACATGCCTCTACATGCCTCTACATGACTCTTCTGGCATATGCTGGCCTCTGCTGGCCTCTGCCTGCCTCCGCTCGCCTCTGCTGACCGCTGCTGACCACTCCTGATACTTCTGACAAGGTATAACGATTACTAAGTGTTACTGCTTGCTCCTACTGGTCTCTACATGCCTCTGCATGCATCTAGATGCCTCTACATCCCTCTGCTGGCCTCTGCTAGCCTCTGCTAGCCTCTGCTGGCCCCTGCTGACCGCTGCAGACCACTCCTGATACTTCTGACAAGGTATAACGATTACTAAGTGTTACTGCTTGCTCCTACTGGTCTCTACGTGCCTCTACATGCATCTAGAGGCCTCTACATCCCTCTGATGGCCTCTGATGGCCTCTGCTCGCCCCTGCTGACCGCTGCTGACCACTCCTGATACTCCCGACAACGTATAACAATTACTATGTGTTCCTGCTTGCTCCTGCTGGTCTCTACATGCCTCTACATGCATCTAGATGCCTCTACATCCCTCTGATGGCATCTGCTGGCCTCTGCTGACCGCTGCTGACCACTCCTGATACTCCCGACAAGGTGTAACGATTACTACGTGTTACTGCTTGCTCCTGCTGGTCTCTGCTTGCCTCTGCTGCCCCCTGCTGACCCCTGCTATTCCTTGCCGACCCCTGCCGACCACTGCTGACCACCCCTGATACTTCTGACATGTATAAGTATTCAAGCCTTGTATAATGTAAATCTATGGCAATAAATGATATAATTTAACAGAATTCTATGTGTTCTCATCATTTTTACCTTTCTTTTCCTCTCCAAATCATTCCCTTAGCTTTAAAAGACCGTTTCTCCGGTTAAAATCGGATTCCCAAAGTGTCCAGCTCTCGTACTTGCTGCCGAAATAAAAAATTAAATGTCCTGAAACAGTTGGAAAGTCCTGAAACAGCTGGAAAGTCCTGAAACGACTTGGAATTTTAGAAATCCCGAATCAGTTGGAAAGCCCTGAAACAGCTGGAATGTCCTGAAACGACTCCGAATTTTAGAAACCCCGGATCAGCTGGAAAGTCCTGAAACAGCTGGAAAGTCCTGGAATTTCTTGGAAACGCCGAAAATTCTCGGAAACCTTGAATTTTTAGCAAAGCTCTGAGTTTCTGGACTTCCGAGGTGTTTCAGGAGTTCCTAGTGGGTTCAGGGAGTCTTACAACTAAGGTAATGACTTGGAGAGGGAAAGAATGGTAAAAAATGATGAGAACACATAGAATTCTTTGTAATTATATCATTTATTCAAATAGATTTACATTATACAAGGTTTAATACATATACATCGTATCAGAAGTTGTCAACAAAGGTCAGCAGTGGTCAGCAGTGGTCAGCCGGGGTCAGCAGGGGCCAGTAGATGCGTGTGGAGGCATGTAGAGGGATGTAGAGGCATGTAGAGGCTTGTAGAGACCAGCAGGAGCAAGCAGGGTCACGTAGTAATCGTTATACGTTGTCGGAAGTATCAGGAGTGGTCAGCAGCGGTCAGCAGGGGCCAGCAGAGGGATGTAGAGGCATGTAGAGACCAGCAGGAGCAAGCAGGGACACGTAGTAATCGTTATACGTTGTCGGAACTATCAGGAGTGGTCAGCAGCGGTCAGCAATGGCCAGCAGAGGGATGCAGAGGCATGCAGAGGCCAGCAGGAGCAAGCAGTAGCCCGTAGTAGTCGTTACACGTTGTCAGAAGTATCAGAAGTCGTCAGCAACGGTCAGCAGTGGCCAGCGGAGGACTGTAGGAAAATTGAAAAGTACATTTAGTCGTGCCTTATACTTCAGGTAAAAAGGGGTATAACTAGGTAAAACAATTTTATGACATTACCTGTTAACTCAAGTTAGCCACCAGTAAAGGCATGTAGAGATCAGCAATGATCAGCAGAGGCCAACCGAGGTTGGCAGAAGTCAGTCGTAATTGTTATACGTTGTCAGAAATATAAGCGGAGGTCAGGAGAGGCTGGCGGTAACCAGTAGTAATCGTTATACGTTGTCGGAAGTATCAGGTGTGGTCAGCAGTGGCCAGCAGAAGCCAGCAGAGGCTGCGAGAGGCTGGCAGTAGCCGGCAGTAATGGTATACGTTGTCAGATGTATCAGAAGCGATATCTGAAATGATATACATATGTACGCTCAGACATAGGAATAATGAAAAAGAATTTATTTTTGTTCAATAATTCAAATATGATCGGGGGGGTCTTAAAACGTGTATTTCACTAAATTTTTGTTCGTTATAGTACCTTGCTTATGCTCGTCTACATACATAGGTCGGAAAGTAAAAAATACCTGGGCAGTCGAGACTTGAAATCGTACGCCATTGACGCGAGGTCGAATCTCACTTGTTCAAGAGCGAGAAGGCAAATGTGCCTTCCTCTCTCGACTCCCACGAGACGGCCCGATGTTACTTCGGGCGGCTTCGGAGAATCGAGAGAGAGGGCATGCGTCAGTTTGCCTTTGTCGACTCTCCGTAACTCCACGAGCTCACGCATGCGTGATCTGGCATAGGGTGAGTGGTGCACTCGGTGCTCGATCTGGCGCCACAATGTACAATGGAACATGTAGTAACGTTCGGTAGAAGACCATGTTTGTCAATTTAAAATATGTAACACAGTATAGAAATTAAAATATTACAATCAAAAAAGTGCACTTTTACATAGTTCTTTAGTTACTTAATTAAACTGATATACATATGTGAAAGAGCAGATGAATTGTATTCGAACTATGCCAATGTTGTATATTCGTAGCCATCTTTTTAGGTTACATTCAAGTGCAATTGTTTTATAAAACTCATAGAATATTTAACTAATTTTATATCTTACACGAGAAATATCCTATATTTCTACCGTCTTATTGTCAAATGAATTGTTCATTACATTGTTATCTTTTGAAATTGTTTAAACAATGTCAAATGATAAGAATCAAGAATCTAAAATACTATCGCTTCAGTCGTTCGATAGTCAGGTAAGATTACTCAAGAAATAGTAATAAAATCATAGTATTATATAACTATAGTTTAACATTGAAATAACTGTTTCATGAAAATACGTTTAACGAGCTTAACGTTTACTTTATTAGGATGTTTCGATACTGCAAGCAGTGCAAAACATATCTTCGGAAACTAACGAAGCATTCGACTACTTACAAGAATGCGTAAACAATTTCGGAAGCAAAGATTCGGGAATAAATTTACTTATTCCTACGAATAGCTCGAATACAGGGTCACGATTAGACGTTAACAACAAATACAAAAGCGCCAATGCGAATAACGCAGATTTCAATTTCTACAAAATTGGATATATTTCTTTACAAAATGAATCGGAGAACAAATATATAAAAATGGAAAACGCAACTGCGAAATCCATCGTCCCGTTCGCTGGAGGAAATATATACGATGATACGAAAGTAATACAAACCACGAACAATAATACAATCAATTCGATGGACGTGAAAGGTAACGACGTGTCTATTAAAATAAAGAAGCCTTTTATATTCGAGACAAATATTTTTACACGAATCAAGGACAAATCTCACACTTCAGAAATTAATGACGAAAGCAATGATCTCGAAACTAAATTTGTGACAGCGGCTAATCGAAACAAAATTAAAATCAACGGGTTAGACATATTACATAAACAGGTCAAAGCGTGTAGCCAATGTTCGATGACGTTCAGATACAAAAGACATCTGGATCGACACTTGGAAGGTCATCAAAAGAACAATTGTTCTCATTGCAATGCAAAATTTGCCAGGCGAAAACACCTCGAGATACATTTGTTCCGTTCGCACGGTGAGAGAGCAACAAAGTATCCACACTCCTGCGATGTATGTTCTCGTAGTTTTCCTAAACGCACTTTGCTAAATCGCCATCGAGCGAAGCATAGCTATGAGAACGGCAAAGTTTGTTCAGACTGTGGGGAAATGTTGAAAGCGGAGGAGGATGACAAGGTGCACAAAGAAAATCATTGCACGAAAATGCAGTTCAAATGCAAGAGATGCTCGCAAACATTTAGCATCGAACAGACGTATTTGATTCACATTCAGAACCATGATAACCACAAATGTCCAAAATGTGAGGTTACTTTTGCGTCCAAGAAGAAAGTGCACGAGCATTACAAAATGGTGCATTCATCGAAGTTGAATCATGGCGAAATATCAAACAGCGGTGAGTTAAAAAACGAAATAGAGAAAGGTGTCAAATTTATGAGAAATCATTCTTTTGTAGGTGTTTATTTTTGCGCTGACTGTAGGCATAGTTTCGTTAAGAAGGATGATTATTCCCGTCATTTAGAGTCTACTTCTCATCTCAGTAAAATAAAAGAAGCACCTCCGAGGGGCATTTTTACATGCTCGGTTTGCTCCAAGAAATTAATTTCACAAAGAGCGCTCGATCAACACGTCAGACGTATACACAAAGGGGAAAAGAGATTCGCATGCAATATGTACGGTTGCATGTTTCAATGCGCAAGAAAATCAGATTTGGGCAGGCACAAACAGTTGCACGTTGAGCAAAGAAACGTTATATGCGAACAGTGTGGTAAAACTTTTACCAGCGTTAGCATTCTCAACGATCATGTTCTCTACGTACACAATAAAGAGAGGCAATTTATATGCGAGGAATGTGGCAAAGCATTTAAGCGAAACAGTTTATTAAAAAGGCATAAGTTGTCGCATCAACAGTATAGACCGTTCGCTTGTATGCAATGCAGCACTGCTTTTAAGAGATCGCATCATCTCACTCGTCACATGGAAACGTGTCATAGAATTACACTCGAAAGGAAGAAAAAGGTGAATTTCTATATTTCTTTAGCAATGAATACGTATTATTTAAAGGAAATGTACATTTACGATGTGATTCAACAGGTTGTAAAACTTATGAAAACTGAAGACGGTCATCTCGTTCCAATACCAGAGAAACCGAAAAAGCTTAAACCTAAAAAACTGAAGATCAAAGGAGGATCCAATGTAGTCATAACGTCAAATGAGAAAGCTATATTTTCTGAAAGCACGGATATCATCGACGAAGAATTTAATTCTAATTTGGAGTTACAGTCGCTGTCTAATTCTGAGGAACTCTGTGAAAATCCAACGCTGTCGTTGGAACCTAATTTATTAGCTACTGATTCTGCCTCTCAAGTTCTTTCATTAGTTGATATTAATACGGAACAAATTGTTACCGTAGAGGTTACTAGTCCAAAGACGTTGACGATGAACGATCTAATAGATCAGTTTGAAACGAACTGCACTGAAATATTGAACCTCAGTAATTATCACGATTTGGAGTTTCAACATGGGATTTTGAACACTGATCAACATTTCTACGATCATTCGAGTTATTCCGAATTGTCGTTAGGAACCGTCGAAGGAACGTCATTTTTCGTAGATTCGAACATTAACAAAGTAGACAATTTGCCAATGGAGAATTATTTAAATCAACCGTTTCCATTATTTTTGAACCTTTAATCGAACTGAAAATTGTATAAAAAAAATATTTGAAACCGCCCAAGTTACTTTAAATAAAATTAAAAATTTTTTATCGACGATCGGCAGGGAAATGTGATAGGTTTTGTAATACTTAATTTTTGTTGAAATTTATTGCGCATTCAGTGAACTGAAATATAACAAATTCTCTCTATTTGTAATTGTTTATGTTAAATTTGATAGAAACGTAATGTATAAATAGCGTTAAAGATGTTATCTATCTTTTAGTTTTAAAAATATATTTTTTAGTCAATACACCTGGTGTTTAATTGTTATTTATTGAAATTAAGTTCCCATTATTGTAGTTAACAATTTACCGACCGGTAGCGGTTGATTAATCGGCTATCGGTCGGTAAGCGTTGGTCGGTAAAGAAGTTGATCAATACGCTATCGGTCGGTAAGCGTTGGCCGGTAAAAAAAGTCGATCAATAGGCTATCGGTCGGTAATGTGTTAAGTAAACCAATATTCATATCGTCTATGGAAATATCAAAGAAATTAACAAAATGGCGGAAACGGACGCGTAATAAATATCCGTGTGTTTGTCGTATTTACGACTAAAATTTTGCTAATATGATATCATTCTTTTTGGAAACATTGTACAGAATTTTAGCAGTGACAATTAGAACAATATTTATCATTATTGTAACAATTCGAATCGAAAAAGTAAAGAAGCTGCTGGTAGAACAGCGAAAGATAATTATTGATAAACAATTCTTTCCAATAGTTTCCAACTGTACGTATCAAAGAATAATTGGAAATAATTATAAACCACTTATCGATATCTCGACGATGGCTTGGCTTCTTACATGGGCGTAAATGGACTTTACACCATCGAAGGACGCATTGATCGAGCTTTATCATTATTTATAATTATTCATCAATAGATACGCACAGAACCCAATAATCAAATATGCTTCACTCGAATGCATAATCACTTGGGGAAAAAAAACTTCGTCATAGTTACGACAACGAAGTTCTCACGTACTTCTTGTTTCATTTGTTTTTAACGAATTTTCAATGATGCAACGAAGATGAAAAATTAATCGAATCAGCAAGAACAAAGCAATGTTATTTTGGAATTAATCACACTCATGAATAAATAGTTAATACAATAACACAAGTACGTTTAATTAGAAACATCCATTGGTCGTGAAGTATACTTTTAAACGCCCTGAAAATTGTTATCCTGGAAAACACATTATATTGACAAAATTTTACAGCAACATGCTTTACACGAGGTATATATTTATTCACAATATGTACATTCTTAATTTTATATATATATATTTTTTTTTTAACATATAAACTGTAAATATTGATTTGTAAAAGTCGATAATTAATGTGAATGTACTATATAAATAAATAAACCGTAAAGAATTTCAGCAGACAATGTACAATACAAAATTCGAACAAATTTCGATCAATATTTAATCCTCTTCTTTTATTTATCAATGCATTATTCAAAGTACCATGGTTTTACAGTTTGTTTGCTTTTTATACCTATATTTCGTAATAAATAAATGATTCATTAAACGATCACGTATCGGTACATTTTCGAATATTTATCCTGGGTGTTATTTTATCAATTCCATTCATCTTCGCGATCTCGTTTTCAAGAAATAACTCTGTACAAAAGTACACCGACGACTGCTGCTGTCGCGCCACCTATCAAGCTCCACGTAAGCTTCGAATTCAGCTCCACGTAACTTTTAATCGCACCTTTATTCTCCTTTTTTTTAGTCTTACACGTACCAAGCATCTTGCGATAGAGATTTTTCTCATGCTCGGCGTCCTTAGCGTTCTTTTTTCTTAAAATCGCCAACTCTGTTTGAATAGCTTTCGTTTCTGGCTTCAACTTCGCCGCCTGAAGCAATACTTGATACGCCAACGCGTGCTCTCCTTTGTAGTGCAACAGTTTCCCTAAAAATATACATCTTCAGCGTACAGAATTATTGGCAGTATCAAATATACGATACAAATACTACCTTTTCTAAAAAGCGCTTTCACATTCTGCGGCTGACAACTCAAAACACATTCCACACTTTTCAAAGCAGCGTCGTAAGCCTGCGTTTTGATTTGTGCAGCTGCTAGGTTATTGTACAGTTTCATACGATCCTCCAACAACGCTTGCAACTCTGCGTCAGTGGTGCTATCTTCCACTTCGTTTTGATATGACGTACGACTCTCCATCGGTACCAGAAACTCCAATGCTCTACGGTAACACTGAATCGCAAGCGTTGGTTCATTACGAGTGAACCACCAATTACCACGCTCTCGTTTGCTATTGCTTCAAATTAACAGAAATATACAACGAACAGTCACTTGAAAAGAAAGGTATCATCGCAACTATTTACCCAATTTCTTTTCGTTGATTAATGCTAAGACTATCTATTTCTTCTTCCAATTCGACAGATTTCAACTCAACCGTGTACGTAAGAACAGCATCGGGTGGTATGCTCGGCGGTTTTCCTGAATGACCGTAAGCAAATCTTGGATCCACTTCTATTTCAGCGATTTCATCTACGTCCATAAGCGCAATCGCTAAATCTAATCCCTATAATTCAGAAATGGAATAAGAGTTTAAAATAACATTTTGGTAGTCGACTACTCCCTAAATGCTTCGAAGAACAATTAATATGCGTTTAAAACTGAAACAACACCTGAATCACTTCGACGTCGCCCAATTGAATCTTGTGGTCCTCGTATTCCTCGACTACCGTGCCGTCCTTCAATTTGCCAATGATTTTTAGAGTACAAATGTCCGATCTGTTCGGTCGCGTTCCAGGTTTTCCCGGTTTGACGACTTTCTTTTTCAATTGCCCGTGCCCTAAAATGTCTATCCCGTCTTCGGTCGGACGATTGTTCAATGTCGCTTGTGTCATCGGATCTTCTACGTTCGCATCGAAATTTAACTCCTTTTTAATGAAGTCGGCTTGCGTGACTCCTGGTTGGACCGGTTCATCTTCCATCTTCAAGATTTCAACAAACTGACTGACTTTTGGTAAAGTAAAAACAAAATGTATCAAAATTATATAAAAGAAAGTGTTTTAAAATTAATAAAAAGAAAATTCAAATTGGTAATATCTAATCACTTTTTAGTTTGCGATAAGCAATGCGTCATGATTATTAAAAATGGCAACGTTGTTCCGTGCAATTATGAAGAAATGTTTATGAGGTTAAGATTTCGCGTTTTATTTGATGAATTGACGAATATGTAATCGACGGCAAAATGCAAACTCATTTGATAGTGAAAATAATTCGAAGCGGAAACAATAGTACTTACTGTATCACGATAGAAGGTAGTTTTTATACAATAATTTTGTAGAAAAAAATGCGCTTTATTTTCAAAACAGTTAATGACTATAAAAAGTGCTGCAAAACAAGTAATCGTTCTGTTTATTTCTAAAACACGCGATACCGGTTGGTTCGGGTTATTATTTCGTGGGGATATCGGTTTAGGAGATAAACTATGCCCACGTTGAGAAAAATAACAATTTTTTACACGAAATAACACCTTGCGTCGTGTTACAGCGAGCAACACGAGATATTTTATAGTAATCAAACATAGATATATACGCTTTACTTACCGGGAGGGGAAGGAGGGTTGGAAACTCTAATGAAAACTGTGGCTAAATGAAAACTGTTGTAGATTGATGCTTGTTGGAGGTTAAGAAATACCTTGTACAGCGCCACAGGTGACACGCTACAGAAACTAAAGGAATTGGAGGGAAATTTGAATTTAACTTGTGACTATATTGACACTTTTAACAAAATATAATCATTACTTCGCAAAATAACACATTAATGTAATAAATAAATTACTAAATGTTCAAAATATAAATTTATTGATATATGTTGTCATAGATACTTCAGAATAACGAAAAAATGGAGTATTTTTATTATTCTAAATCTAAATAAATAAATTACTAAATATTCAAAATATAAATTTATTGACATAACCCAGACCTAACCCAGACCTAACCCAGACCCTAGATCTGGATTAGGTCTGGGTTAGGTCTGGATTAGATCTCAGTTAGATCTGAGTTAGGTCTGGGTTAGGTCTGGATTAGATCTGGGTTAGGTCTGGGTTAGGTCTGGATTAGATCTGGGTTAGGTCTGGGTTAGGTCTGGATTAGATCTGAGTTAGGTCTGGGTTAGGTCTGGGTTAGGTCTGGATTAGATCTGGGTTAGGTCTGGATTAGATCTGAGTTAGGTCTGGGTTAGGTCTGGATTAGATCTGAGTTAGGTCTGGATTAGATCTGAATTAGATCTGGGTTAGGTCTGGGTTAGGTCTGGATTAGATCTGAGTTAGGTCTGGGTTAGGTCTGGATTAGATCTGGATTAGATCTGGATTAGATCTGGGTTAGGTCTGGGTTAGATCTGAGTTAGGTCTGGGTTAGGTCTGGATTAGATCTGAGTTAGGTCTGGGTTAGGTCTGGATTAGATCTGGGTTAGGTCTGGGTTAGGTCTCATTTACACTGCTGTTGTATTTTGTAATTTCCAAGTGTATGATATCTGTTTGGTTTGGACTTGAAAGAATGTCGAGTGAGACTTGACGAAGGTGCTCCTGAGATCAAAATTGATGTCGAATCACACTCGACATAGGAGTGCAAAGGGTTAAGATAATTTGGATTATTCTAGATCTAATTCAGATCTAATCCAGACCTAACCCAGAGCTAACTCAGATCTAATCCAGACCTAACCCAGACCTAACTCAGATCTAACTCAGATCTAATCCAGACCTAACCCAGACCTAACCCAGATCTAATTCAGATCTAATCCAGACCTAACCCAGATCTAATCCAGACCTAACCCAGACCTAACTCAGATCTAACTCAGATCTAATCCAGACCTAACCCAGACCTAACCCAGATCTAATTCAGATCTAATCCAGACCTAACCCAGAGCTAACTCAGATCTAATCCAGACCTAACCCAGACCTAACTCAGGTCTAATCCAGACCTAACCCAGACCTAACCCAGATCTAATCCAGACCTAACCCAGACCTAACCCAGAGCCAACTTAGATCTAATCCAGACCTAACTCAGATCTAACTCAGATCTAATCCAGACCTAACCCAGACCTAACCCAAATCTAATTCAGATCTAATCCAGACCTAACCGAGAGCTAACTCAGATCTAATCCAGACCTAACCCAGACCTAACCCAGATCTAATCCAGACCTAACCCAGACCTAACTCAGATCTAATCCAGACCTAACCCAGACCTAACCCAGATCTAGGGTCTCGGTTAGGTCTGGGTTAGGTCTGGATTAGATCTGGGTTAGGTCTGGGTTAGATCTGAATTAGATCTGAGTTAGGTCTGGGTTAGGTAAGCCCAAATCGACAATTTATCATGTACTTGTATGTTATCATGTTTTGGTAATCGAAAAAAAAATGAAAACTGTTATTTCAATACAGAGTCGATCTGGTCATATAAGAAATTTACTGAATTCAATAATAAGAGTGATTTGATTATTTAAAATTTCCCAAGCAGTCAAAATGACTGCATTTGACCAATATAGGTATAACACATATACCGGAAATGAAGGAGGGAGGAGGTAACTACAATTATTAATAAACGCATTTATATGTTGTGCAAAAAGTCACAAAATTCTAAGAAATTGTGTCATTATATACGTAATTGTTTTTCTAATTGAAATTAAAAAGCAGTCAAAATTACTTCCTTGGGCAATCTAGTGTTAATTAGGAATTTTACATGTGGCGTTTTCTTTAGGTACAATTTGAACGTGGCCCTCTGGTGGCGAGTACGAGAACCGCCACCACAAATCTGTGTTTTAACTAATTTCATCGTATTTGTTATATCGATCTAAATAAATACCTAACTAATTAACAACACGTTGACTTTACTTAGTAAATATTTTTATTTATAGATTTTAAAAGATGTCACGTATGATCTTTCCACTTAAATTTATCTGTTCAGCTTAAATACATCAATCATAAGTAATTAAAATATTGTAAACAATTGCTACGTATATATATACAATTGGAAATAAAAACATGTTACAATTGTTACAGGCTCATATTTCTTTGCACCAAATCTAAATAGAACGTTTGCGTAAATTAGAAATAATTAAAATGTTTCCCCAGAGAACACGATGGCGATTTAGAAAACAAAAGACAATTCTATATTTATCGAAGATTCATTTCTGGATCGAATAAATTATTTACAAATTGTAGAAAACATTTTAACATTTGGTAATTAAATTGTGAACAAAATTTAACACATTACCGACCGATAGCGTATTAATCAACTGTTTTACCGACCAACGCTTGCCGACCGATAATCAACCGCTACCGGTCGGTAAAGTGTTAAGAACGAATGGGAATCCCCTAAAACGAACGTCGCCCAAAAGAAAATCGAATAGGCCAATAATGGTAGAATCTTGGCATTTTTTTTTTTTAACCAGAAAAACACTTATTTTCGTGCTAAGATTTACGTATAATATACAAATGAGCAGGCATAAACTTGTCTCGTTTGGAATATAATAGCTCTGCGATCAATGATTTTTTTTTTCTTTAACCTGTACCCTACGATCTGTATACCATTCTTAACATTATTACACGCTATTTAGTTTTACGTAACTCTAATTAATATTACGTGTAAACATAATTACGTTACTTTTCACATAACTGTACACATTCACATTTTGGAATAGGCGCCTCCCCGACAAGCGCGAGTCGTTTTTAGTGGCAGTGAACTTATTTTACATATCGTTATTGTGATCACTTTGCTGGACTGTTCCGAATTTCGTTTCTCTCAAGGCTCTAGAAACGTTGCGATATTCAAGTGAATTTTAAACACATTACCGACCGATATTGATCGACTGTTTTACCGGCCAAACGCTTACCGACCGACAGCGTATCAATCAACTGTTTTACCGACCAACGCTACCGGTCGGTAAAGTGTTAACATCGTATCATTCGACTTCGAAACTACGTATACGCAATCATTACACGTTTTTTTTTTTTACGAAAGTCGTGGTGAGTGTGCGAAATAGGGCCTCGCGTAAAAGTTAATCGTTATACGTATATATTTATGTAACATTACAGTTTTAAAAACGAGCTAATTGTATCGTTTGGATGAATTATAGCGAAACCAAGTGTATTTTTTTTTTCCTCTTTTTTTTTTGAACACTTACATGTTACGTTAGACCTTCGAAAACAATAGAAACGTCCGTGGCGTTATACCTTCGTTCAATTAGAATATTTATCGAAACAACGCTAATCGTAAATTTGAATCCCGACGAAGGTAGAAATAATCGTTCGTAGATCGTTTCTTGATCTCATTTCGCTCGAAGATTCTCGGTGAACATATATCACAGCATGCCTTTTCTCAACAGGACGATAGAGAAAACAATAAGATTAAGTTCTCTCGGTAACGCGAGACGTCTTTTCGCTAATTATTTATAGCTGAACAAATTTCAATTGCGTGAAAAGTAAAATCGATATATCTTAAAAATAGTTTTCTAGGGCGGTACATGTCTCGTTCGATATCCGACTCACTGACTCGTTTCCAGCTAGAGCCGATATTTGCAATCACGGGTTTTCCAAGCTTTGTAATGATTTTAAAAGATCGATATGCAGCCATTACGAGCGAGACACGTACAAAAAGTTCATCCGTTCACCCGTACGTGTATATCAGCGAAGTTTAGCGATTTTATTATCAATTGCCTTGTGTTACGTATCGTGCTACTATAAACTAGTAGCTATGTATGTATTTATAGTCCCTAGTCTAACTATCAGTGATCGATATCTGGGAATCCTGACAATACCTAGAGTGCGAGGAAGTCTACGTTAGCATATTTTCAGTTCGACAGCTTTTTATTGCCTTTCTCACTGATTCTGTATGATTTGGACAGCTTACGATTAAAAAGTTTCCCTTTATTTTACTTCTTCCCTTTAACTGCACGTTTAGTAATTCATGTTTATTAATCCCTCGCTTCTGTTCTACGTAGATCATGCGAAATGGTATTTAACCTTTCGACTCCGTACAGCAATGATTCTTAAGACGACTTGACCCACACCCGGGGGATCATTTTAAGAATCATTATTGGTAAATTCATTACGGAATGAGAAATGTGTACAAAACTGTCTAAAGATCTGCACAATCGACGATGCATACATCAGCAGAAATAAGTAACGAGAAATTAATGTAATCTCAAGTAATGCTCTACGTGTCGACTGATTCAAGATCATAGTGTTTCGTTCCACTCTATAGAATCTGTTTTCAATAAATTGTTTGACGTAGGTTCAAAGGTTGTTCGTTCTGGAACATAAAAGTGGGCGGTTAAACTCTGTTAACCGTGTTAATAGCATCAATCGACAATGCATATATCAGCAGAAATAAGTAACGAGAAGTTAATGTAATCTCAAGTAATGCTCTACGTGTCGACTGATTCAAGATCATAGTGTTTCGTTCCACTCTATAGAATCTGTTTTCAATAAATTGTTTGACGTAGGTTCAAAGGTTGTTCGTTCTGGAACATAAAAGTGTGCGGTTAAACTCTGTTAACCGTGTTAATAGCATCAATCGAGTGAAGCGATGAGACAATGGAAACAGGTATATCGTTTGAACGACACAATTCATTTTCTTGTAACTCTATTTTAACAGGGAATTGGATATACTATAATAGTATAGGATTATTATACACTTACTTATGCAACGACGTGGTAAATACGATAGAAGTATACAGTATATACATATATATATATACATATTGAAGAAGTTTGCCCGAAGAACTTGCATAACATCGAACGACGTGCACTTTTGGTGTGAAACGTTAACGATACGAATGCAGTAAGAAAAGGCATGCCTTGGAACACGTGCAGGGTGCTGTTTTAACATCATGGTCCAATCGATGGGGTGGAAACTTTCAATATCGATCAAAATTTCACTTAAGAATCGTAGAACAAAAGTTAACTTTCAATTTGTCTTGTTTTTTGCCTCGATATGGATTGTAATTTCATTTCAGTTTCAAGTTACGTTCTTTGATGTAACTCTCTATAACCCTGTATGTTTTTGTAACTGAAATACATGTTAAATACTGAATACTAGTATTCGATAGATATAGATCGATCTGACATTTTGTATTTAATCTTAAACACTCCTGCAATTAGTATGGAACGACTCATCGGTGTATAATAGTATTTAATATTATGCGTCTGATGGGGGAAAAAGAAAATATTTGTATATCACATTTGAATAGAAAGTAAATTACATCTTCAAATTCAATTTCTGTGTTCGATGCATCATGAAAGCTCTTTAAATTTTGGTAAATAATGAAATTAATCATTTTAAGATGTATTTGATATTTATACAGAATTTGTGAACATGAACAAATAAATAATTATATTGGTAAATATACAGAAAAATTGATAAATTCATAAAATTATATATCCATATCAAATTTAAACAACAAACTTTAATTGTTTCCATGAACACGACGTTAGGTCTGGATTAGGTCTGGATTAGATTTGGATTAGATCTGGATTAGATCTGGGTTAGGTCTGGATTAGATCTGGGTTAGATCTAGGTTAGGTCTGGATTAGATCTGGGTTAGATCTGGGTTAGGTCTGGGTTAGGTCTGGATTAGATCTGAGTTAGATCTGGGTTAGGTCTGGGTTAGGTCTGGGTTAGGTCTGAATTAGATCTGGGTTAGGTCTGGGTTAGGTCTGAATTAGATCTGGGTTAGGTCTGGATTAGATCTGAGTTAGGTCTGGGTTAGGACTGCATTAGATCTGAGTTAGGTCTGGGTTAGGTCTGGATTAGATCTGAGTTAGATCTGGGTTAGGTCTGGATTAGATCTGGATTAGATCTGGGTTAGGTCTGGGTTAGGTCTGGGTTAAGTTTGGGTTAGGTCTGGGTTAGGTCTCATTTACACTGTTGTTGTATTTTGTAATTTCCAATGTGAGACTTGACGAAGGTGCTCCTGAGATCAAAATTGATGTCGAATCACACTCGACATAGGAGTGCAAAGGGTTAAGATAATTTGGATTATTAACTAATCCAGACCTAACCCAGATCTAACCCAGGCCTAAACCAGACCTAACCCAGATCTAATCCAGACCTAACCCAGACCTAACCCAGACCTAACTCAGATCTAAACCAGACCTAACCCAGACCTAACCCAGATCTAATTCAGACTTAACCCAGACCTAACCCAGATCTAATTCAGACCTAACCCAGACCTAACCCAGATCTAATTCAGATCTAATCCAGACCTAACCCAGACCTAACCCAGACCTAACCCAGACCTAAACCAGACCTAACCCAGATCTAATTCAGACCTAACCCAGACCTAACCCAGATCTAATTCAGATCTAATCCAGACCTAACCCAGATCTAATTCAGATCTAATCCAGACCTAACCCAGATCTAATCCAGACCTAACCCAGACCTAACTCAGATCTAACTCAGATCTAAACCAGACCTAACCCAGACCTAAACCAGACCTAACCCAGATCTAATTCAGATCTAATCCAGACCTAACCCAGATCTATAAATAGTGAAATTTAAAACAAACATTTTGTATAGCTACCTAATAAAATAAGTGAAATTTCCCCATTTTTAGCTCCGAGGTCCGCCATTTTACCAATTTTTCTATCTCCGCCATTTTGTATTTCATTCTACCAAAAAAAATTGCAAAATTAAATTGAAATATACTCTAAATAGCCCTCAAAACCTTACGAATATTTATCGATTCTCTATCCTTCGAAATAATTATTGAAAATCGGTTTAAATTTCTAGATTTCTACATAGAGGGCGCCCCCTTAAGTACCATTGTGATTTTAAAGTAATTGCATGGCTTTCTAATCTCATTATCAATGATTTCCAAGACCTGCTATGTCCTTTTAAGTATAAAATAATTCAGGGGTATAGAGAGTTAACGAATTCGCCTAATCTCGCAATTCTAAATTGTTCGTAATAACAGCTAACACCCGCTCGTTTGCACCACAGCGCCCCCTGTACCTTTAAGAAGATAAAATGATCTGATTTTCAAATGCTTTTTACAGGCACCGTATAAGCACCATGAAAAGATAGTTTTCGCGTCCATGGTTAAAATTCGATAAATCTCATCCATGGAAAATTCAATCTCGAGTTCGATCGACGGTAACGGGGCCAATCATATTAGAGTGCAATCAGTTATAAAGACGACAGTGATACAAAAAACGACGTATAATCCGAATAAACCCTAACGAAATTAAATATAGAAAATTCAAGTACATATTACACCTTTTCTCTGGGGTGGGGGGTTTCGTTAAACTTGTCGCATCTAGCAATTTATACGTTCTATGTTCTTCGATGTCGCGCCAAGTTCAAATCCTCGTCGCGATCACGGTCCAACTTCCGGGACGCGTGTATATTCGTTCGAACGTAAATGTTTAGGCACAATCACTTTCGCATCATTTTTCGTTAGATATTTCTCTTCTTTTTTTTTTTTTAATCGCGGTCTATCTATTCGTTTCGTGCCGTGTCCGTTCGTCCCCCATCATTCTTACACGCTTTACCGGTCGCCTATTGTTTCTAAATACTCATTGGCGGAAATAACGTGGCCGTGCGAGGGGCGTTTGGTGTTTCGTTATCGAAACGTTCGCAAAAAACGTGATTATCGTTACTCGTCCCAGGCACGATTGCACGATACGTCACTGTGGTAGCTCTCAGCGACGCTCCAGCCGACGTTCGTCGCGTTAATCGCACGACGTATGCTGTTCCTTAAGAAAGCCGCGCAGGCCTTGCTCCTCTCCGTGATGATCTCGTACAGCTGATTCTCGAATGTGAGGCTGTTGGCGGTGAGCAGTAGCGGCAGTGGTATCGACGCGTTCATGATCACTAGATTACCGATATTAAGAGGAGCTGTTTCCCATTGTCAGACACCGCTGTTCGGAAAGCGTGGCGGGGGAAGCGGGGGCGGTGGTCTCTCCGGCTGAGCGGGAGCGCCGGAAGATCGCTCGGATCCAGCTGCAAACACAACTGTTCGAGCCAGATTAAACGGATGCAAGTTTTCGTTCCACTCGACGCACTCCCCAACAGAGCTGGGCACCAACGACAAACTTTCGATCAATTTTTATCAATTTTTAACAAATTAAAACCATTCTGGTCTGCGATTCTCGCAGAGTTTCCCCCCTCCACCGAACACGAATTCCTTTGTCAGTCTAGATTAAAAAAAAAATTGTTTTTGGTTAACACATTACCGACCGATAGAATATTAATCGACTGTTTTACCGACCAACGCTTACCGACCGATAGTGTATTAGTCGACTGTTTTACCGGCCGATAGCCGATTAATCAAACCGTTATCTGTTATCTAGATAAAAATGTACCCAACTCTGCTCGTTAACACTAATTTTGGCATTCATCTATAAAACTGTTTCAATTTAAGAGACGACAAACAGCAAGCGTTCTACGATTCTTGTAGAAAGAAATTGTTACAAAGAATTTCTATGTTGTTTGTATGTTGTTTATGGCATGAATGTCCCTTCGAATTACTGATACGTTCAGGCATTAACTATTATTAGTAATTGTAAATGGTATTGAAATTAAGACAAAATTACTATTAAAATTGAAATTATACAGGGTGTATGTGAAACAATTTTATTCGAATAATATATGACGAATAAAAATGTAGCTATTTATTCGATCCAAAAATCATTTGAAATTATTTATTTTTCCATGGTAAAACGTAATTTCATTCTTTTAATGTGAATCCTAATTTTTGTGAAACTACTAACAAATACAGAATTGTTTATCTTTTATTCGATATTTGAAATTTTTTGCTGGTTAACACATTACCGACCGATAGCGTATTAATCGACTGTTTTACCGACCAACGCTTACCGACCGATAGCCGATTGATCGACCGCTACCGGGTCGGTAAAGTGTTAAGAATTTTGTTCAACTTTTATAAAATATAAATCTCATGAAATGTATTCAATGTTTTATGTTTTATATGTTTCATCAAAAAAATTGAAGAGACTTTCATGAAACTCTTCATTTTTGAATTTTGATGCCACATGTAAAATGTTTCACTATTATTATTAACAAACAAGTTTTCCTATTCGTAATATTTTCCCAAAAAATAATCTACAACGTTTCCAAAGGGACACCCTGTATAAGATCTAAATCACTATTATTTAATTTTTTTCGTGATTTTGATCACTTCTCTGTAACGTATTTAAGATAATGTAATTAAATCTTAAATTATTCTTAAGATCTTAAGAGATTTAATTATGATAGTAAATATACATATTTAGTATACTTTGGTAACTATGCAAAAAGTTCCATATTTATACAGACTGAACATTTACATATCAGAAACAAGATAAACTGTACCTAAACTTTACTATGATAAATCGTTTTGAATTTTAAAATCGGATTATGAAAATTCAAAATTCCTCTCTTATTATACATATAATTTTACGTACACAGTAGTCTCAATTATGCGTTGTTATTCTTATAAGTTAATGCAAATGAATTTAATTCTTTTTTGTTGCCAGTGTCCCTGAAAACATAATACAAATATAATTCATTATTAAAAAAATCAACAATAAATAATATCACTTTCCCATGGCTACTGTCTCTCTCACAGTGAGCCTTAAATCCCGAAAAGGGATAAAAGCTATCTGGAAAACACGAAAATGATAATTTCCTTATGATCGTATTGTGCTATAGTGGTCAAGAATACAGGATTGCCTTCTCCGCAACATGAACTTTGTTTCAACAGTTCTAACAGATAGTTGCGTGGCAAAACTGTTGCTCTAGTTGGTAAAAAAGAGGCAAAAATACAAGACACATCGTAACATTAGTATCGTAAACACATTTCTTATCGCAATGAACTATCAAAGTTCAATACATGTTTCGTTATTGATTATTCCTTCAACGTTCATTGAATTTTGATACGACGCAGCAATTATTCTTGATAAAACTGTGTTTAGGTACATCGTACTGCTATTAGAAGCCAAAAGCAATGATGAAGCGAAAGTATTTACTCCGAGAACCATAAAGAACTCTGTAAAGACACACCGAAGAGAAGAATACAAGTTAAACGCACCAAATGCAGTGCATCGGATCATTTTAAGCAGTACGACTACTTCCATAAAGAACCGGAACAAGATTATTTGTCAAATTTATAATAAAAATTAAGGCGTCTCATGTATTTTGCCTCCGCTTTCCAAAAGTAGCAACACTTTCGCCATATCGTGTCAACTAATTGCAAGAACTGTAAAAACAAACATCGTAACACATTTTTGGCCACCATTATGAATACATGAGATCACTTACAACTATTAATGTGTACATAACAGGGATATAGAATGTATCTATAAGATATGTCCATTAAAATGATTGTTTCGAAAGATCTCAAAATTTTAAGCATGTGTACTACTCGTATCAGTTGAACGATGATTAATGGGGGGAAATTGTGCCTTCTATTTTACGTTCCTGTATTTAATCGTATAAATAAGCTCGAGGGCAAGAAAATTTCGAAATAAAAATGCAAGAGATTCAATAGTTGCTATTTAGAATCTTTTCTTTTTTTAATCTAAATAAATTAAGATACATTCATGCGCACATGCTCATTATACCATTCATGCTCCAACTGCGGTAGTATTTTGAAATCGGTTTTACAGTTTCATATAAAAAAATAATAATAATGTGATATCATTTGTTTTAAAATCTTTCAAAGTTTGATATTCGTATAACTTCTTATTCTTTTATGCGTTTACATTTACAGATCCATGGGGACCGTATTTGTGTCAATGCGAAACCCATAATGGCCTACCTGCGTTTAAACTACTACAAAGGCCAGTGTTAATAGCGCATAATATATATATATATATGTGTGTTCTTAAAGTGGGAATAAAGCCAATATATCTACCGATTTGATTTATAAGAATACTTGTGATTGATTAGAGTCAGATATACAATAGGACAGATTATCATACTGCGCACAGATGATAGAACAGATACGTATGTATACGTATCATAGAGCTTACAATGCCGACTGAGTTATTTTCAACCACGAACAATAATTCCTTGTATTTACAATCGCTATTTATTTATATCATTATTCACATATTTTCGTGTCGGGAATATAAGCTCTAAAACAAAAGTACTTCAACTATATTCAAGTTTTTAGTGTGTTGGTGTATTTCGCTGAAGCAGTGTGAATGGTGGAAAGCCACAAGTATAGCTATTATGATCGATGCATGAGATGCGAACAGAGTTAAAAAATGTGACAGCGAATTTGAGGATAGTTAACGGATAATACTGATCCAACGTCACCCTGGAAAAAGAACATTACGCAATGATAAATTGCATTTAAATCAATACGAGAGACACACCGCTTGTAGATTAAAAAATAATTGTAAACTTCTACCGGATTCCTTACCCATAGACTAATGGAAACTAGAAACGTAAAATTTTTAGGAAATTTACAAGGATACCGATGTAAAGATTAAATATCTAACATCTTTAGTTACGTCTGTAATATGGTTATAGTGGCTTCTTTGTCATTTACAATGTGATTATGTTTCGGATTGCGCTCTCCTAATCTGCTATTGTCAACAGAAAAATATAGTGTGATATTGTTCTCTGCTAGGACCACTTGTATGTCTTGTAGTAGCGAAGCAGCAATGTAATTTTTGACTTTTCATATAATCAGCGCTTTTGATTCCTCTGCACTTTTGAATCATACTGAAAGCAGAAAAATAATAGTCGCAAATAAATTTAAAATGTATCACAATGGAAACTACAAATTAACAAAACTTTACAAACATACATAGATGGCGTTATGGCATGCACGATGATAGATGGAATAAGCGACAAAGTAACAAACAATTCTTTCAGAGTTTATAACTTATTAAAAGACTCTTTTTGATACTTTTTGTTAGCTTTTCAGGCAGATTCAAAGAATTGTTTATCGTGTAAAGACGGAAATGGCTGACGTGGACGATCTTTGGTGAGGTTTTTAAGCCTTACATGAATCAGGATGTGGCTTCTCCTCGGCCACCATCAGGGCTGCACTCTCTGCTGGCGGTATGTGTCCCTCTAATGCATTCACACAGTTTAGCATGCTCCTGCAAAACATCACGCGACTTGTCCAAGTTTCCTGCTTCTTCATACATGTCTATCGAATCTTTCCTTCTCTTATTACATTCCAGATCTTCGTCGAGGGCATCGATTCAACATGCACGTTGTAGAACCGCGGCTTATCAACAACTCGTCAACGTAAGTTACATATCCATTTGTTTCTAACTTTTTTTTCTTACTTTATCGACCTGGATTTGAATTTGAAAATTTCATGGTTTGCGATACACCCCGATTACGATACTTTCTCTTTGCATTACGATACGTTATAACGCCTTTTGTAAAGTTACCATTAGTCGAACTTTAATTTCCCGCCCATTTTTTTGTTTTCCATTGTTCCACCTACTTCCGTGAATCTTTTTTCTCAAAGAAATGATAATTCATTTCACAGTTTCTAATCTTGTGGTTCACTGGCCTGTGTAGTAGACTTGAGACATATACTTATTCAAACGCAAGAGTATATATGTTACAGTGAAACACCGAAATCTGGAGAATGTCGACTTTCACCGGTGAACGTCGACATTCACATAGTCGCTTAGTGTATGTCCGAAATATTTGCTAAACACCCTCATTTCTGACTTACACCGGTAAATGTTGACATTCACCATGCACTAATGGTGAGTGTTGAACATGTTGGGAGATTTATATTTTCTTCCCCCGTAATTCAGTCGCTATAAAACGTCACAAGGGTGACCGTAACTTTTTCGCCCCTCTTTCTGAAAGGATCTAACCCAGACCTGAGTTAGGTCTGGGTTAGGTCTGGATTAGATCTGGGTTAGGTCTGGATTAGATCTGAATTAGATCAGGGTTAGGTCTGGGTTAGGACTGGATTAGATCTGGGTTAGGTCTGGATTAGATCTGAATTAGATCTGGGTTAGGTCTGGATTAGATCTGGGTTAGGTCTGGGTTAGGTCTGGATTAGATCTGAGTTAGCTCTGGGTTAGGTCTGGATTAGATCTGAATTAGATCAGGGTTAGGTCTGGGTTAGGACTGGATTAGATCTGGGTTAGGTCTGGATTAGATCTGAATTAGATCTGGGTTAGGTCTGGATTAGATCTGGGTTAGGTCTGGGTTAGGTCTGGATTAGATCTGAGTTAGCTCTGGGTTAGGTCTGGATTAGATCTGAATTAGATCTGGGTTAGGTCTGAGTTAGCTCTGGGTTAGGTCTGGATTAGATCTGAGTTAGCTCTGGGTTAGGTCTGGATTAGATCTGAATTAGATCAGGGTTAGGTCTGGGTTAGGACTGGATTAGATCTGAGTTAGGTCTGGATTAGATCTGGGTTAGGTCTGGGTTAGGTCTGGATTAGATCTGGGTTAGGTCTGAGTTAGCTCTGGGTTAGGTCTGGGTTAGGTCTGGGTTAGGTCTGGGTTAGGTCTGGATTAGATCTGAATTAGATCTGGGTTAGGTCTGGGTTACGTCTGGAATAAGTCTGAATTATGTCTGGGTTAGGTCTTAATTTACTCTTAAAAAGACGAGTTTGCTAATTAGAAAATCTAATTTTTCTTCCAGACCTAACCCAGACCTAACCCAGACTTAATTCAGACCTAACCCAGACCTAACCCAGACTTAATTCAGACCTACCCCAGACTTAATTCAGACCTAACCCAGACCTAACCTAGACTTAATTCAGACCTAACCCAGACCTAACCCAGACTTAATTCGAACCTAACCCAGACCTAACCCAGACCTAACCCAGACTTAATTCAGACCTAACCCAGACTTAATTCAGACCTAACCCAGACCTAACCCAGACTTAATTCAGACCTAACCCAGACCTAACCAGACCAATTCATCGCTGATAACGGGGGTTAGGTCTGGGTTAGGTCTGGAATAAGTCTGGGTTAGGTCTGGGTTAGAAAAAGATCACGATTTACTGCAGTATCCATTTAGTATAAATTAGGGTATCGGGGAAAAAATTAAGAAAACGTTGCTCGCGTTATCAAAGCTTGCATAAGACTGACAAAGCTGATCGACTCCGAGCAGAAGAAAGGATTTGGCGGGAGAGAGCCAGTCGCTTGTTTTTTGACTCTTCTGTTTTGGACGTCCACCAGAGCATATCTGTGATTGTCGACACACACCGGAGAGGGTCCGAATGTACAACAATGTAATGAAATATTCGATCTTTCACCGACGTATTTGATATCTGTTGACATTCACCGGTGAAAGTTGACATTCTCCAATTTCGGTCATTCACGGTAACATATATATATATGTATCTTAACAGATTTTTATAAAAAAATAAACAAATGAAAAACTGCGCGTTAAAGTTGCGCGTACGAATGGAAGTGAACTAAAACCGGGAATTAAATAAACAAACAGATTTATTTTACAACATATAATATATATGTATATATTTATATATACGTATGTGTATGATCTTGTCGGTGATGCCGAAATATTCGTTTTAAATATAATATACTAGTTAACGAGTGTTCTAAAAATTGAGTCATAAACGGCCCGTAATCATCGATTACAATAATCCTTAGAGCAGTTTTGTGCTACGAGTAAATGCTATATCGTTGCCGATAACAATTATTCGATTAGATCGACCGAATACGAGAACTCTATTTAATGTAGTTATCATTTTTCAGTGAATGGCAATACGATATACGGATTTAAAAATCGTTCTCAGTTAATTAGTTTTATGGTTTGTCAGTAGCGTGGGTATGGTTGGCAGTGGTGGCGTCAGATAGGACGGTCTCCTTGCTAGAGTTAGTGGCGAGCTCCTCTTCCCTGCAATATAACAATGTTACATGGCCATCGAGCCTCGTGTATCGATTGTGCGTCGATTTTTTTTTTGAGAGAGAGAAATCCTAGTTTTTGCGTCGTACGTATAAAGTAAAGCTTTTTTACTCTAAGAAAAAAACAAAAACGTACATATGCATCCTACGTTGAGAACAAATGTGGTCGTTTTCGTAATTCCCCCAACGGATTTCGAAGAACGCTCGTTCGGAACGCGGCTTGTTCTAAAATGGCCGCCGTCTACCCAACTAGAGCTGTTCGAGTACTCGAGCGTTCGATTAATTTCTTTGATATTTCCATGGACGATATGAATATTGGTTTTATTTACTTAACACATTACCGACCGATAGCGTATTGATCAACTTCTTTACCGACCAACGCTTACCGACCGATAGCGTATTGATCAACTTCTTTACCGACCAACGCTTACCGACCGATAGCCGATTAATCAACCGCTACCGGTCGGTAAAGTGTTAAGATATTTCAATGTATTTTGTGTTCATTTTATCATAGAAAATAGAACAGAAAAAAAACAAAATGGAGTATAATAATATCTATCATATCGTAACCGGTAAAGAAGAAATCTTTTTCTATTTTTTTTTAAATTCTCAATGCATGATTGTTTAAATAAAGATTACGAAAATATTAAATTCTCAAAAATTATGTTCCTTTTTTGTAAAACATCAGAAATAAACGATTTAGGGAGACCCAAGATCTAGTACTCGGCTCAGCTCGAAAACCGAGTCTCGACTAACAAAATGGCGGTTTCGAACGTTACTAATATTCGAGTATTCCAACAGCCTTACTACCTTCCGCTTTACCGTCAGAAACACGTTAATAGAATTTTCCAGAGACACGATAAAATATCTCTGATTTCCATTATATGTACCTTTTTAAAGTCTCGTTTTAATGGACGTTGAAAATACAGACTCTCTATCGATTCGAATAATTTTGTTTTAACACTTCCTTGTGTGCACAGCTTGTTCAAAATGATTTTAAAGATACTCGATAATTTCGTCTGCTCAACTCAGACTCGATCATCGTGTATCGGCGTCGAACAAGCCGCAATTATAAAGAATATGAAATTTATGTTATGTCCTCGGTTCTCATGTTTGCCTAAGCGATTTACGAATATTAAATATATGTATATGTATAGATATATCGATGATAGTCACATAGATGCACTGACACGTAAAAGTCAAACATACACAGTCATAAAATTTATAAACAGCACTCATTCGATCATAAATACAAAAATGGCCCTTATACTAATCTCTATATCATTTATCAATTAGCGTAAGGCTGTTATTAACGAACAAATTGAAGAAAATTCCGGGGCTAAATCAGAAGCTGATGATTCATCGAATGTTTCGGCAAAACCTTGTTTCCAGCAGAATCGATAAGAAACAATAGAAACAAATATCGAAAATGGCTCGCGAGTTTGTAACGCAAAACTGCTTCCAAAGCTTCCGTAAAAATATTTCACACATTTCGGAGTTTCTGTCTCTTTGTTTTACGCATGGGTAAGAATATTAATGCAAAGCTCTTTCTGCGTTCGCCTATTCGAACAAAGTTATATATCTATTACTTAGAAATGGTTCGTACGCCAAAACAGTTAACGTAAGCACTAACATGCAGTCGCATAGTACAGCGCCATAAAACTCGTGCCAACTATATCGACATGAAAAATTATTCCAAGACTGAAAATCTGTCGTTGAACATATATCGGGTTATAATTGGTAGACTAAAAAGAGGAGCATGCTGTAAAATACAAGGCTCCGAAGGGAGGGTTAATCGAGTAGTCGGGGCTGTTATGTAGGAGTAACAATGACCTTACCAAACAGGTCGCAGGAACAGTTACGCTAAAAGCATTGGTATTCGATCACATAATAGCCCTGGAAGAACTATTTAGAAACTGTGAAATGTATCCTCCGCAAAAAAGAAAAACGTACAAAATTACAGTTTATCTTAACGGAGTCATTCATGCAACTATGGATCTTATCCTTCTTTGTGATTTAGCCTGATAACAGCGCATGAGAATGGCGGAGTAAAGATGTTTCAACATGCCCAGGCTTGTTAGACCGTAGAAGTTATGGTAGTCGCTCGAATAGGCAGGGGTACAGGATTATCTTTTACGCAAAGCAAAAGATCGAATCCTCAGTTTTGCTCTAAATCAAAAGCAGCTGTAAATTTAGCTAAAAAATAATCCTTTCGTTTAAAGACGACTAGTGGTGTCTTTGATAACCGATCTCCCATGCAGTAAAAAGAACAAGTCTGACAAATTCGATATAAGTATCGTAACAAAGCCACCACAGTAACAGGGAAAACGTATTGTCAAGACTCACCCGTAGAGTCTGCTGTCCCGTAAGCTGCTCCTGCTCCGAAATAACATAGAAAGCACAATTACGATATGTTCATGAATTCTCATCGTAATAGTATGGAAGTTAACTTAAAAATTATTACCAGAACCATTAAGTAACGATTTATTTAAACAATACATGTACAATAGGCTAAACAAATAAATATAATATCCATTTTGGCTTCTCAGAAATCAGTAACAAACTATAAAGCTTCAAGCTCACGTTTTACAAACGAATATGTATATATATATATATATATATATATTTGTAATACTTATGGAAATGTAAAATAAATCACAAAGACGAAGGTAAAACAAGAGAATTCGTTTCCTTTCGTTCCAAATTTCTGTCAACGTTCGATCGTTCGTTTTAGAATTTGCGAATCTACGAAAACAATGTTGTACCTTCTTTATGTTACAAAAAAAACTCTGTCTCGTGTAACATAAACGCCGAGAAGAACAATCGGCAATACTACGACGGTATAAACGATAAACTGTTGCTATACAACCATGCACCGATCACCATGGTATACATAATCTCAAACGTTGCAGCTGATACGTATCTACGTTACGCTACAGAGTTAAGACTGGTAGATTCAATCGTTAAATCTAATATTGTGTATTCTCAAAGTCTGCGAAGCAACGACACTCTTTTTAATCAAACTCTAACACGCGAAGCGAAATTCCAGATACGCCATTTTACTTTTCTCTATGAAATTGTAGAGTGGAAGTACCAAAATGGATTCGATGCTAAGATCGAAGGGATTTTTCTGCGATTAGGTATCACGTGTCATTGTTAACAACCTTACGAAAGGAGAATTGCGTTAGCAGATTCATTGCGATTGGAAAAACCTGTTCGTAGCTGGAACGATGGTTGAATATTGATGAATTTAGAAGAGCTAGAAGCTTCGAAGCACAGTTTCTTCAAAAATGGGGTTTTAAATTAGAATCTGCGAGGTCTCGAAAGACTAAAAGCATTCTACGTTGTGGAATAAGAGAAATGTTGTTATATAATCTTTCGTTCCTAGTCTTTTCATGAAATTTATGCTCGATGATGTTTTTCAGGTGATTTTTGATCTTTTAAAAGACTTTACAAAAAACTGATACAGTTTATCGTTAAATTTCATGAAGCCTTTGCATTAGTCACCGTATCTGCCTATTTGAAACGATAAACACAAAAATAATGAAACCTGAAGAGCGTCGCAGAAGAATTGTTAGATACGTTCAAACCGAATACATAAACAGTACTTTTGAAGGAAGTCTTATACTAATATCAAAGATTAAAAATGCATTAAATTTTTGAGAACATAAGGGAAGCGTTATCATAGAAATTGTTAACCAAAAATAAAATAGATGTAATTAATGTCTACGAAGCTGTTTTTTGTTAAAAAAAGGCCACAAAATTTGTAGAGAACGACTTTAGGTTCAACATCAAGAAGAGTCGACAGAAATATTTATCACAGTTCTATTTTCTTCTATAATTTTTTAAAATTGATCAATCTTTTAGGGTTAAACAGTTTTCGTAGCTCTAGTAATAATATTTGAACGAAATGTTTTCTTTTTCATAGTTGGGAAATTATCCACTTATCCTCTTAGTACTCCCACTTTGCAATTGAAATCGTGAAATCGATTAGTACTGTTCTTAAATGTCTACTATATAGAAGAAATCGAATGCAATTTATCACAGATGAGTGCCCCATTAAACCGATAGCAGTGACCTTCTTTTTGTTAGAAAGAATAACGCAATTTACTTTCATCTACTTAATACGTAAAAAGTAGCATCAAAGATCGTGGTGCGATATGGTCAATATAATATAAAATTGACAGCATTGTTGCTCGATAGAAAGCCCGTTACAGATTTCCTTTCAAAGTGTTCGATAGCGTACAATATTATATCTTGTTGTCCAAGATAATTACTATACCGTGTTTTTCCAACCTTTTTAACGAGTAACTACTTTAATTGTACACAATTATTTATGTATTTTGCGCACGATAAACATCTCTAGAGATTCATTGGCTAATGAGTATAAACGTGCATTTATTTCCTAACCTTCTATCTCTTCGAACAAAATCATGAACGTTTCAAATATCACGCATGTTTGCTTCATCGATAAAGTGTAGACGGCCGGACGGATATGACAATAGTAATCCATGCATCGAATTGGTGAAATGCAATGTTCTTATCACGCGTTATCAGCATTGGACTAAACGATAGATACAAAGTCTTTTGCTTAGGAACTAAGCTAACAAAGGAAAATCAAACGAAAATTCGAAAACGAAGAATATACCTGCAGGGTCGTGTAATACGCATAATAGAAATCAGCAGAAAAGAAAAGGGATTCCAAACTGAAGATTATCTACCTAGTGATTTGCTATACGTATTAGGGATGGTATTAAGTGGCTTGTTGATTGCATACCTGTCGTTACCATGCCTGAATAAAGCTAGAATTTCTTCGAATGTTTTATTCTTGGTCTCAGGAACCTTCTTGTACGTGAAGATCCAGAAGATGGCTAGGAATGCACTGAATGGTAGGAACGTGTAGTTTTCAAGGCAAGACTGCAACAGACGAACGTAGAAGATTAGCATTGAAGTATAGTATCAAAAATTAATGTAGAAAATATAAAGAATACGCTCCAGGAAATACGCACTAGGAACATAGAAGTGTTCACACAGTAATCACACGAACTGATATCACATTCTTTGATATTAATCTCTTTATATGAATAAATACAACGCAGCTCGTGCCGATCATGGCGGCTACGGAACGCCATGTGCTAAAAAGGTGGCGCCACTTGGTCGCGTGCTCATTGCCGCGCGGAATATGAATTCCTCAACAATTAAATATGTGATATCTTCCTTGAAATTTAACGATCTTAACACTAGATTGCCCAAGGAAGTAATTTTGACTGCTTTTTAATTTCAATTAGAAAAACAATTATGTATATAATGACACAATTTCTTAGAATTTTGTGACTTTTTGCACAACATATAAATGCGTTTATTAATAATTGTAGTTACCTCCTCCCTCCTTCATTTCCGGTATATGTGTTATACCTATATTGGTCAAAAGCAGTCATTTTGACTGCTTGGGAAATTTTAAATAATCAAATCACTCTTATTATTGAATTTAGTAAATTTCTTATATGACCAGTTCGACTCTCTATTGAAATAACAGTTTTCATTTTTTTTCGATTACCAACACATGATAACATACAAGTACATGATAAATTGTCGATTTGGGCGTACCTAACCCAGACCTAACCCAGATCTAATTCAGATCTAATCCAGACCTAACCCAGATCTAATCCAGATCTAATCCAGACCTAACCCAGACCTAACCGAGACATAACCCAGACCTAACCCAGACCCTAGATCTGGGTTAGGTCTGGATTAGATCTGAGTTAGGTCTGGATTAGATCTGAGTTAGCTCTGGGTTAGGTCTGGATTAGATCTGAATTAGATCTGGGTTAGGTCTGGTTTAGGTCTGGGTTAGGTCTGGGTTAGGTCTGGATTAGATCTGAGTTAGGTCTGGGTTAGGTCTGGATTAGATCTGAGTTAGGTCTGGGTTAGGTCTGGATTAGATCTGAGTTAGATCTGGGTTAGGTCTGGATTAGATCTGAATTAGATCTGGGTTAGGTCTGGATTAGATCTGAATTAGATCTGGGTTAGGTCTGGTTTAGGTCTGGGTTAGGTCTGGATTAGATCTGGGTTAGGTCTGGGTTAGGTCTGGGTTAGGTCTGGATTAGATCTGAGTTAGGTCTGGGTTAGGTCTGGATTAGATCTGAGTTAGATCTGGGTTAGGTCTGGATTAGATCTGAATTAGATCTGGGTTAGGTCTGGATTAGATCTGAATTAGATCTGGGTTAGGTCTGGTTTAGGTCTGGGTTAAATCTATTTAAAACAAAATAAATCTATTCCCTGGGGGAATAAGGTTATCTATAAATCCAGACCTAACCCAGACCTAACCCAGATCTAATCCAGACCTAACCCAGATCTAATCCAGACCTAACCCAGACCTAACTCAGATCTAATCCAGACCTAACCCAGACCTAACTCAGATCTAATCCAGACCTAACCCAGACCTAACTCAGACCTAACTCAGATCTAATCCAGACCTAACCCAGACCTAACCCAGATCTAATCCAGACCTAACCCAGACCTAACCCAGATCTAATCCAGACCTAACCCAGATCTAATCCAGACCTAACCCAGACCTAACTCAGATCTAATCCAGACCTAACCCAGACCTAACTCAGATCTAATCCAGACCTAACCCAGACCCTATTGATAAATTGCAGTTTCTCAATAAGCTAAAGTAGTACTTGTTATTCGAATCTTTATGCAGTGATACTTGTTCTAACAAGTTGTTTATTTTATTTCTGCGCCCTAAATTCATAATATTATACCATAATATTAAAAATTAATTTTAAACAAATTTCTTTACACATTAGTTAGTCTTTCACGATGCAGTCATGTTGACTGCTTTTGGCCAATATAGGTATATACTAAGTTTCAGTCTTTCTAGTGTTAATATTTCTAATCGTTAACGCGTTAGAGTATCTACCTTGATACTGTATACTTTCAATTAAATTACGTTTCCGGAAAAAGGATTCATTTAATGCGTTTTCTATTTCTTTGAAACAGTTCGACTATTATGAAATGTTCAGGTTATTTGTAAATGTATAAATATATTTCTTTTCTTCGTGTATTACATATTTTTAACGTATATGTTGAATTACTCTTGTTTCTTTCAATTTATGAAAACAGGACTTATAGAACTGCTAAAATATAGTAGTTTGTGGGGTTGCTTCCTGTACTTGCCGCTAGGGGGACCGTTTCTCTCGCAAGTGCTCGACTTAATCGACTACCTACTATCTCAGTGTCTAAAACAAGATAAAATGCTCCCCTCTCCTTTCTTCTTCCATCTCTCATCAACCCTCACAAGTTTCACCTCAAAATAGTGTTTCTATATCTAATAAATGCCTTCATACTTTACGAGAGCAACGAAGTTTATTACGATCCACTTATTCAACAATTAAAATTAAAATTTCTAACGCGATTTACGCGATACGTCATTTATTTTATGGGGTTTATGGGTACTTTCGTCCTCGATCGCGGAAGAAGTAAGTGTAAATATGGAAGTTTAACGCGTCTTACCTTCATACTTGGGAAACCAATGCCAACCAAAAAGTTAGCCATCCAATTGACGAGTACCGCGATAGACATGGCGGCAGGTCTAGGGCCCTGTGAGAACAGCTCGGCTGTGATCATCCAAGGTATAGAACCAGGCCCGACAGCAAAGAATACCACGAAACTTAGGGTGGAGACGACCGACAGATACGACATCCAGTCGATCATTTCCTGCACATAACCGAAAAACTCCTATCAGGCAGTAGAATAGTGTTCTCCTTTCCTGAGCAGCCGGAGGAGTTACTCTCAGGATTAAAATACAATATTCTACGGTAACTTAAAGAGAAACTGATAAATACAGCATGCAGTTGTGCAGCTCAACCCTGTGTCAAGGCGATGATGCGATTGCAACGATGCGAACGTGCTCTGTTTATGTACAATTAATATCTTTCATTTAAGCAACGAAGCATGACTTTTCTATTTTTCAACGGAAGGAGTAACCCAGGACACGTTCCTTGGACCTCATAGTGAACACAAACGACAATGGTAAAAACGCACGACACTTTACGCCTTTACATTGAAAAGGGTACACGTAATTGTGCTGGTTTTGCTGAACGACACGAGGAACACGGTCATTGGCTCTCGTGGCTCCTCTGAGCAGTTCGTGTTTTTTCGTTTCTAACACATTACCGACCGACTGTTTTACCGGCCAACAGTTACCGACCGATAGAGTATTCATCGACTGTTTTACCGACCGATAGCGGTTGGATTAATCGGCTATCGGTCGGTAAAGTAGATCACGTTCGACGTAAGAGATGCAAAGATTTGTTTACTGCGTAAAGAGTTTAAATTTCGTTTCTCGAACAAATGTAACGTGACACAAAGGGTGACAGGTTTGAGCCAGATAGAATATATACTAATAACAAAGGAAGTAAATGTCTCCTCCAGGCAGTCACGAAAGAGGCCGTTAATGAAGAGGGGGAGGGGAACGGGGTAATTAAGAAGCACAATTATCAAGCAATTGCCTAAGCAAACGAGAGTGCATGCATCATTTGACACGCGTTAATATTTTTTTTATATGAAAAATTGCAAGTTATATTTGTAAATTCTGAAATGCAAATAAGGAATAACAGGAACGGGAGTAGACCTTAAAAGTTACATGAATGTCTTGGGGGGAGAAATTAAAATGAGTTTTCTGAATGGAAGTTTGTATAAATGGTGATAAAATTCTCACTGTCGGTGCAGTGCTGCACTCCAGCTGTGAACAAAGTGTTAGATACACCTTTCGCCAAGGTGCATGGAAGTGACAAAGCACAAAGATATAGCTATATACAAATCCACGTTCTCTGGTGGTGTAATCAACACGCCCTAGGCAACCCTGATTCCCCCATCGACTTTCAACTTTTAACATTAGATTCTATGACTGTTATTACGCGACGTTACGAACAGTTAGAATTTAGTTAAGTGTTAAAGACAGTGCGTACACTCGTAACTGGGGATTCCTGGAAGTTCGACTTACCTTTATCAGAAAAGAAATTGTGATGAATATTGAAAAGATAAACATGCCACCAAGACCGTATAAGTGCAGTGTACGTCTTCCTGTTCTATCCATAAGCGGGATGGATACTAACGTCATACAAACCATAATGGCACCTATGCCAATGGTTGCAAACTTGGCACTCTCCTCTGTCAAACCAGAACTAGTGAACAAATTTGTCGAATAGTAAAACACCTGGAACGGAACAAGTTTACGGGTCATTAGATCCCCCAAAACTTGAACGATACACATTGCGTACAAATTCAAATTCCATGGCCTGGTAATTTGCATCGAGTTTCTAGCCAGAGCGCTACTTACAGCATTAATGCCTGAAAGCTGTTGCGAAAGTTGCATGACCACACCAATAACAAGAGGAGCTCTCAGCGTAGGGCTACAAATGAGCTCTGTCATCGATATTCTAGATTCAGCTTGCTGAGCACGTTCCTCAGCTCTCATCTCTTCTATGTCTTCTTCCACTTGGTTACTGGCTCTCAACCTTCTCAAAGCTTTGCGAGCTTCTTCCTCCCACTGTTTGGTAATGAGCAAATATCTGGGGCAGAGAATTGAATGGTAACGAGCCAAAATGCTAAGAGTTCTTTACTAGTTACGGTGATAGAGTTGGGGTAGCGTTTACTGAGGTTACGTTGGGAGTCTCTACCTTGGTGATTCAGGGCAAACCGGAAGCAGCAGTAACTGTAGAATCGCAGGGCAGATAGCTAGCCCTAAGAGAACTGGCCAACCCTCATTCGTTCCAAGGATTTGCTCGATGCCCAGCACCTGGGAGACCAGGAGACCCACCGTAACAGCGAGCTGGTTCACCGTGCCTAGGCCGCCTCTCAGGTTCAGTGGTGCTATCTCCGATATGTACATGGGAACCAACGAGGTGTTTAAGCCACAATTCACACCGATGATGAACCGTCCAAAGAACAACATTTCGTATGAGTGAGCAATCTTTGTACAACCCATCAGGCACGCCCCCACGATGCCCAGCACGTTGTTTAGCAGTAAGCCCCCCTTTCTGTCGGTGAACGAGAAAACACGGAGCAATGTAACAGGTTTACCAACCGGTACGTTTCGTTATTCAACACTTTTACTGCCAACGTGACGGGATTTAACTACTACGATACTAGAGAAATGAATTCTCAAGTCGAAGGAAATAAATTTGAATGGAATTTGTGAATGTTAACGAGGTTACAAAGATTGGTGAAACAAATTTTAGCTTATGGTAGCTTAGAATGGTGTGAAATCAACATTTCACGGTTTTGATCTGGCAGTGAACGTGTTAATACTCGAACGTAACGCGCTACTGGCGACATCTGGCAACACAGGCCTACCAATCTACGGCGTTAACGCGATGCAACGATATCGTACAAACCTGCCAAATCTGTTGGCAATTATTCCTCCGCTAAAACCACCTAGCATACCACCAATCGCAAATATGCTCACGGCCACAGAATACAATTTCTTCACGGAATCGTCGGAAATGTCTTCTCCATACCTATCCTTGTACACGTCTTTCATAAAATTTTCAATGTTCTGAAACAGAGAAATTTCAACGGTTACTTTTCGGTAGAAAAATAGACATTTAAGGGGGATTTACTATCTAGTAATATTTGGCCTTGTTTGTGATTTTTTTTCCCCACGATAGGTAGGCTATTTCGTACTGAGATTTTGCAGATATATTTAGTCATCTTACAAGCATATACAGGATTTTTTTCGTTAAAAAATATTGAAAATTGAGGGAGTTATAACTTCTTGTTTAACAAGAGGCAAGTGGTTAAATTTCAATTCTTCTGATTTTTTTTTCCAATGATAGGTAGGATATTTCGTACTGAGATTTTGCAGATATATTTAGTCATCTCACAAGCATGTACAGGATTTTTTTCGTTAAAAAATATTGAAAATTGAGGGAGTTATAACTTCTTGTTTAACAAGAGGCAAGTGATTAAATTTCAATTTTTCTGATTTTTTTTCCCAACGATAGGTAGGATATTTCGTACTGAGATTTTGCAGATATATTTAGTCATCTCACAAGCATGTACAGGATTTTTTTCGTTAAAAAATATTGAAAATTGAGGGAGTTATAACTTCTTGTTTAACAAGAGGCAAGTGGTTAAATTTCAATTCTTCTGATTTTTTTTTCCAACGATAGGTAGGATATTTCGTACTGAGATTTTGCAGATATATTTAGTCATCTCACAAGCATGTACAGGATTTTTTTCGTTAAAAAATATTGAAAATTGAGGGAGTTATAACTTCTTGTTTAACAAGAGGCAAGTGGTTAAATTTCAATTCTTCTGATTTTTTTTTCCAACGATAGGTAGGATATTTCGTACTGAGATTTTGCAGATATATTTAGTCATCTCACAAGCATGTACAGGATTTTTTTCGTTAAAAAATATTGAAAATTGAGGGAGTTATAACTTCTTGTTTAACAAGAGGCAAGTGATTAAATTTCAATTTTTCTGATTTTTTTTCCCAACGATAGGTAGGATATTTCGTACTGAGATTTTGCAGATATATTTAGTCATCTCACAAGCATGTACAGGATTTTTTTCGTTAAAAAATATTGAAAATTGAGGGAGTTATAACTTCTTGTTTAACAAGAGGCAAGTGATTAAATTTCAATTCTTCTGATTTTTTTTTCCAATGATAGGTAGGATATTTCGTACTGAGATTTTGCAGATATATTTAGTCATCTTACAAGCATGTACAGGATTTTTTTCGTTAAAAAATATTGAAAATTGAGGAAGTTATAACTATAAATGCGTTTTTCAAACCTCACTTCCATGATAAAGTTAAAAAATTCAATGATAAAAGGTTAAAAAATAGAAATTCGAATCTTCTCCCTAGTTTCTGCTATAACTTCATTCTTCCTAATGAAAATATTCTCCCCCCCCCCCTTGTTTTAAATTAGCAGGTTGATTGGAATCGAGTCAGCACCTTTTTCAGAAGAGCCATTAAACAAGAAGTTATAACTCCCTCAATTTTCAATATTTTTGTATGAAAAAAATACTGTACATGCTTGTAAGATGAATAAATATATCTGCAAAGTCTCAGTTCAAAACAGCTAACCAATCGTTGGGGAAAAAAATCAGAAAAAAGACCGAAAAATTGAAATTTAACCACTTGCCTCTTGTTAAACAAGAAGTTATAACTCCCTCAATTTTTAATATTTTTGTATGAAAAAAATACTGTATATGCTTATGAGATGAATAAATATATCTGCAAAGTCTCAGTATGAAACAGTCTACCAATCGTTGGGGGAAAAAATCAGAAAAAAGACCGAAAAATTGAAATTTAACCACTTGCCTCCTGTTAAACAAGAAGTTATAACTCCCTCAATTTTTAATATTTTTGTATGAAAAAAATACTGTACATGCTTGTAAGATGAATAAATATATCTGCAAAGTCTCAGTGCAAAACAGCCTACCAATCGTTGGAAAAAAAATCAGAAAAAAGACCGAAAAATTGAAATTTAACCACTTGCCTCTTGTTAAACAAGAAGTTATAACTCCCTCAATTTTTAATATTTTTGTATGAAAAAAATACTGTACATGCTTGTAAGATGAATAAATATATCTGCAAAATCTCAGTTCAAAACAGCTAACCTATCGTTGGGGGAAAAAATCAGAAAAAAGACCGAAAAATTGAAATTTAACCACTTGCCTCTTGTTAAACAAGAAGTTATAACTCCCTCAATTTTTAATATTTTTGTATGAAAAAAATACTGTATATGCTTATAAGATGAATAAATATATCTGCAAAGTCTCAGTTCAAAACAGCTAACCAATCGTTGGGGGAAAAAATCAGAAAAAAGACCGAAAAATTGAAATTTAACCACTTGCCTCTTGTTAAACAAGAAGTTATAACTCCCTCAATTTTTAATATTTTTGTATGAAAAAAATACTGTATATGCTTATGAGATGAATAAATATATCTGCAAAGTCTCAGTTCAAAACAGCTAACCAATCGTTGGGGAAAAAAATCAGAAAAAAGACCGAAAAATTGAAATTTAACCACTTGCCTCTTGTTAAACAAGAAGTTATAACTCCCTCAATTTTTAATATTTTTGTATGAAAAAAATACTGTACATGCTTATGAGATGAATAAATATATCTGCAAAGTCTCAGTACGAAACAGCTAACCAATCGTTGGGGAAAAAAATCAGAAAAAAGACCGAAAAATTGAAATTTAACCACTTGCCTCTTGTTAAACAAGAAGTTATAACTCCCTCAATTTTTAATATTTTTGTATGAAAAAAATACTGTACATGCTTGTAAGATGAATAAATATATCTGCAAAATCTCAGTACGAAATATCCTACCTATCGTTGGAAAAAAAAATCAGAAGAAAGACCGAAAAATTGAAATTTAACCACTTGCCTCTTGTTAAACAAGAAGTTATAACTCCCTCAATTTTAAATATTTTTGTATGAAAAAAATACTGTACATGCTTATAAGATGAATAAATATATCTGCAAAGTCTCAGTTCAAAACAGCTAACCTTTCGTTGGAAAAAAAATCAGAAAAAAAGACCGAAAAATTGAAATTTAACCACTTTTTTAATAAATAAGATCTTCTTTTTTTTTTATGAAACATACCACTTCTGGCGCATTAATGACTCCAGTGTTGTATCCAAATTGCAACATTCCTAGGACTGCTGCTAGTATTGCATACGACAGGAAAAGCGTTAGCCCCTGAAAATAGCAACGTGTGTGGTTAAATAACGAAATTTAACAACGAAATTCGAAACAAAGGCTAATAACAAAGTAGTAGCTCAAAATAAAATAAATATATTTTCAAACGAAGACAAATGACAAAACAAGCGAATGAAGTAAAAATAATATCGATGAGGGGTGAAATAAAACACCGCAGAACGTCATAACAGTTTATTACAATATCTCTGGTCGGTTGATTATAAAATCATAACGAAAATCGTAAAAATTAAACGAAATAATAACACAAGTACGAGAAATCAAATACAATCATAACATAACAATAATAATAAATATACAGCCATCAAAAGCGATTTGCTCGTCAACACATTACCGACCGATAGCCTATTAATCGACTGTTTTACCGACCAACGCTTACCGACCGATAAAACAGTTGATTGATAGGCTCTCTGTCGGTAACCGTTGGCCGGTAAAACAGTCGATTAATAGGCTATCGGTCGGTAAAGTGTTAAGAAATAAAAAATGGCGCTAAGGAATGAGTTTTGGATCGTAAAGACAACCGTCACCTGCTCCAAAAGTCTAAGTTTCCGTCGATGGGAGTGTTCTTCCAGTCGATCCACGTATTCTCGTAACTCTTCGATCTCTTCTTTCACCTGCTGTACTGTATCTAGTTCGTGCTGCGTAGAATTGGGAAACACGGTTTAGAAAATGTGGTAAACGCATATCGAGGCGCACGCTAAGACGGTTACTCGAATTAAGAGTTTCGCGACGCGAGCTATCTTAGGTTAGGATAGAGTTAGGGTTAGGGTTAGGGTTCTTCGAGTTGCTCTTTCGTAAACAGTTTGAATATGAATTAGAGCGCATATAGACCCCGACGGTACCTTGATTGCGACCATGTCCCGTTTCACCTCGCTGACCTCGCTCTGGCAAGATTCTACGCTCTTGGTGAGTTCCTGCAGCTGGGAACGGATCTCGCAGAGGGCGACGGTGGTCTCCAGCTGGCGGTCACCCCGCTGCAGCTCGTCCAGCTTGGCACTCAAGTTCATACTCATAACGCTGACCTGTTTCTGCAGACTGGCCACACATACACACCCCACGCGTGAATCTCGCTGGCTCGCCCCGTGAAAACAAATCGACATTGACAGACACTAGACACGGATCAAGGCTAACTATTAACGCCTAAGTCCCTAAAGAGAAGTTTCAAACTACCTCCGCGCGAAACTGCCGAGCCTTCAAGTAGCGGATTCGATCAAACTCTCTTATCCTTTCTTTTTCATTTTTCTTTTTTCTTTTAAAAAAATACGGGCACCATTGGCGCGCCGCCATCTTTGATTCTGATGCGAGCCAGCGGTAGCTCGGCAGCTAAGGACACGCCGGGTATAATACGAGTACAGCGTGTTAAAAACAGAGATATACAGACACACATATACGTATTATATCAGATTCCGTCTATGTATATGAGTATAGAAATATATATATATATATATATATTGAATTGAAAAATAGCACAACGTACAAACGCCACTAAAAGCACGTCTAAACTGTGTGTGGGTGAGTGTCGGGGTGAAAAATACTACGGTGACATATATATATATATATATATGTAAGTATGTATATGTTACAGTGAAACACCGAAATCTGGAGAATGTCGACTTTCACCGGTGAATGTCGACATTCACATAGTCGCTTAGTGTATGTCCGAAATATTTACTAAACACCCTTATTTCTGACTTACACCGGTAAATGCTGACATTCACCATGCACTAATGGTGAGTGTTGAACATGTTGGTGATTTATATTTTCTTCCCCCGTAATTCAGTCGCTATAAAACGTCACAAGGGTGACCGTAACTTTTTCGCATCTCTTTCTGAAAGGATCTAACCCAGACCTAACCCAGATCTAATCCAGACCTAACCCAGAACTAATCCAGACCTAACCCAGACCTAACCGAAATCTAATCCAGACCTAACCCAGACCTGACCCAGACCCTAGATTTAGGTTAGGTCTGGATTAGATCTGAGTTAGGTCTGGGTTAGGTCTGGATTAGATCTGAGTTAGGTCTGGGTTAGGTCTGGATTAGATTTGAGTTAGGTCTGGATTAGATCCGAGTTAGCTCTGGATTAGGTCTGGATTAGATCTGAGTTAGGTCTGGGTTAGGTCTGGATTAGATTTGAGTTAGATCTGGGTTAGGTCTGGGTTAGGTCTGGATTAGATCTGAGTTAGGTCTGGGTTAGGTCTGGATTAGATCTGAGTTAGGTCTGGGTTAGGTCTGGATTAGATCTGGGTTAGGTCTGGGTTAGGTCTGGATTAGATTTGAGTTAGGTCTGGGTTAGGTCTGGATTAGATCTGAGTTAGGTCTGGGTTAGGTCTGGATTAGGTCTGGATTAGATCTGGGTTAGGTCTGGGTTAGGTCTGGATTAGATTTGAGTTAGGTCTGGGTTAGGTCTGGATTAGATCTGAGTTAGGTCTGGGTTAGGTCTGGATTAGGTCTGGATTAGATCTGGGTTAGGTCTGGGTTAGGTCTGGATTAGATTTGAGTTAGGTCTGGGTTAGGTCTGGATTAGATCTGAGTTAGGTTTGGGTTAGGTCTGGAATAAGTCTGAATTAAGTCTGGGTTAGGTCTGGGTTAGGTCTGGAATAAGTCTGAATTATGTCTGGGTTAGGTCTGGAATAAGTCTGGGTTAGGTCTGGGTTAGGTCTGGGTTAGGTCTTAATTTACTCTTAAAAAGACGAGTTTGCTAATTAGAAAATCTAATTTTTCTTCCAGACCTAACCCAGACCTAACCCAGACTTAATTCAGACCTAACCCAGACTTAATTCAGACCTAACCCAGACCTAACCCAGACTTAATTCAGACCTAACCCAGACCTAACCCAGACTTAATTCAGACCTAACCCAGACTTAATTCAGACCTAACCCAGACCTAACCCAGACTTAATTCAGACCTAACCCAGACCTAACCCAGACTTAATTCAGACCTAACCCAGACCTAACCCAGACTTAATTCAAACCTAACCCAGACCTAACCCAGACCTAACCCAAACTTATTCTAGACCTAACCCAGACCTAACCCAGACTTAATTCAGACTTATTCCAGACCTAACCCCCGTTATCAGCGATGAATTGGTTTGGGTTAGGTCTGGAATAAGTCTGAATTAAGTCTGGGTTAGGTCTGGGTTAGAAAAAGATCACGATTTACTGCAGTATCCATTTAGTATAAATTAGGGTATCGGAAAAAAAATTAAGAAAACGTTGCTCGCGTTATCAAAGCTTGCATAAGACTGACAAAGCTGATTGACTCCGAGCAGAACAAAGGATTTGGCAGGAGAGAACCAGTCGCTTGTTTTTTGACTCTTCTGTTTTGGACCTCCACCAGAGCATATCTGTGATTGTCGACACACACCGGAGAGGGTCCGAATGTACAACAATGTAATGAAATATTCGATCTTTCACCGACGTATTTGGTATCTGTTAACATTCACCGGTGAAAGTTGACATTCTCCAATTTCGGTCATTCACGGTAACATATATATATTATATAGTTCATATATATATTATGTATACATAGTTGTCGGAGCTGTGCACATTAGATGGAAGTTTGTGAAGGGTGAGAAATGAAAATCAATCCCCCCCCCGTAAAGTTGCATAAAAATTTTTCACTAAATTATTTTCGTCCCTGTTTCGTTATCTACACGATGCGGGGAACGGTGCAAGTGGGGTAGAAAAAATAATGATTCTTAATGATGAGATTTAGCAAACTTGATCGATGTGCACAGCCAAGCAGAAAAGGGTGGTTTTGGTTTTTGGAAAAAAAATAAATGAAATTTCCACGCAAGGCACGAGTGACGGTGAGAAATGAATGAACAAATGATCCCGCGATGGAGGTGAGAAAGTATGAGAGAAGAATGAAAGGGGGAGGTTCGAACGAAAATAAATAGATATAAATATATTAGCGAAAGAAAGAGCAGCGATGATGTTGCCATGTACCTGGGAGGTAGGGAGACCATGGCTGTGTTCCGAAACTACAGTAGCCTCTATGCCTCCCCACTCACTCCTCTTGATTCAGTATTTCGTCTTATTCTCACAGATCTATTTGTTCTTTGCTTTGTTCACGACATATTGTACGTACGTTGGATTATCCACCAAAATCCAATCAACTGACTCTGAACGATTGCACAGCTTGTTGGTCAAGTGGGTCCCACGACCAAAGGTGGAGGGGTAACGTGCGGCGGGGGGGAGGGGGGTTTATACGCCGACGACGCCCGCCCCTGCCCTCTTATCTCACTCACTCTGTAAAACTTTACCTAGTTTGGAAACACAGTCGTGGTTCAGTCAAAATCATTGTCACAAAATTGAGTAATTCAGTCGCTCGAATCAGTCACGTGACGTCCGATTCTTCTAAAGGATGGGTTCGTCACGTGCGGAGACATTATTTTTTTTTTTTTTTTGTTTTTATCTCGCGCATCGCCAGCTTACTCACCCCAGCCTAAGTCGCCCGCGTCCACAAGCGAGCTTGCAATTTGAATGGGACCATAAACTTTTTTTGTGCGGATACGAACACCGTCGGCAAAATAATTCACAAAAATCAGCATGAACATCGTGATGTGATATAAACCACGCAAGACACCCACACGAACAACTAGCAACGACTACCAAACAAAACAACGGAGAGCGTATCGATCGAAGGAAACGATGTATCTCCATTTTGGTATCGAAATTCTAACGAACTTCTTTGTGCAAAAGCAATTAATGATCAGATGATCGTCCTGACATATATATCCGCGATAGTGCAATTCTCGCGCGAGAAAGCGCTCGAGAAGCTGCGCCACCTGGCGGTGACATCGCAGTACTGCTAGTGGCGAGGTACAGCGCGGGCCGTTAACGCGTATGCGCGCGCATGTAACTGTCGTGTCGCGTGGTCCGCCAAACGGTCGTACACATGAAATCTTTACACATAAATTACACGTTAACACTAGATTGCCCAAGGAAGTCATTTTGACTGCTTTTTAATTTCAATTAGAAAAACAATTATGTATATAACGACACAATTTCTTAGAATTTTGTGACCTTTTGTACAACATATAAATGCGTTTATTAATAATTGTAGTTACCTCTACCCTCCTTCATTTCCGGTATATATATATATGTGTTATACCTATATTGCCCAAAAAAGCAGTCATTTTGACTGCTTGGGAAATTTTAAATAATCAAATGACTCTTATTATTGAATTGAGTAAATTTCTTATATGACCCAGATCGACTCTGTATTGAAATAACAGTTTTCATTTTTTTTTCGATTACCAACACATGATAACATACAAGTATATGATCAATTGTCGATTTGGGCGTACCTAACCCAGACCTAAACCAGACCTAACCCAGATCTAATTCAGATCTAATCCAGACCTAACCCAGAGCTAACTCAGATCTAATCCAGACCTAACCCAGACCCTAGATCTGGGTTAGGTCTGGATTAGATCTGAGTTAGATCTGGGTTAGGTCTGGGTTAGGTCTGGATTAGATCTGAGTTAGGTCTGGGTTAGGTCTGGATTAGATTTGGGTTAGGTCTGGGTTAGGTCTGGATTAGATCTGTGTTAGGTCTGGGTTATGTCTGGGTTATGTCTGGGTTAGGTCTGGGTTAGATCTGAGTTAGGTCTGGGTTAGGTCTGGGTTAGGTCTGGATTAGATCTGAGTTAACTCTGGGTTAGGTCTGGATTAGATCTGGGTTAGGTTTGGGTTAGGTCTGGATTAAGTCTGGGTTAGGTCTGGGTTAGGTCTGGAATAAGTCTGAATTAAATCTGGGTTAGGTCTTGGTTAGGTCTGGATTAGATCTGGGTTAGGTCTGGGTTAGGTCTGGATTAAGTCTGGGTTAGGTCTGGAATAAGTCTGGGTTAGGTCTGGGTTAGGTCTGGGTTAGGTCTGGGTTAAATCTATTTAAAACAAAATATGTCTATTTCCTGGGGGAATAAGGTTATCTATAAATCCAGACCTAACCCAGATCTAATCCAGACCTAACCCAGACCTAACCCAGATCTAATCCAGACATAACCCAGACCTAACCCAGATCTAATCCAGACCTAACCCAGACCTAACTCAATCTAATCCAGACCTAACCCAGACCTAACCCAGATCTAATGCAGACCTAACCCAGACCTAACCCAGATCTAATCCAGACCTAACCCAGATCTAATCCAGACCTAACCCAGACCTAACCCAGATCTAATCCAGACCTAACCTAGACCTAACTCAGATCTAATCCAGACCTAACTCAGATCTAATCCAGACATAACCCAGACCTAACCCAGACCTATTGATAAATTGCAGTTTCTCAATAAGCTAAAGTAGTACTTGTTATTCGAATCTTTATGCAGTGATACTTGTTCTAACAAGTTGTTCATTTTATTTCTGGGCCCTAAATTCATAATATTAAAAATTAATTTTAAACAGATTTCTTTACACATTATTTATTCTTTCACGATGCAGTCATTTTGACTGCTTTTGGGCAATATAGGTATATACTAAGATTCAGTCTTTCTAGTGTTAATAACGCGCTTCCGAGACATGCTGCATAGCCCATGTCCATCCTAAAATATGCAGGAATAACGTATCAAAATTTGAGGAAGATCTCTCTTTCTATAATAGTATAATTTTCATTTTCCTTTGTATCGAGTCTCTGTCGTCGTACGTGCGTGGTTGCTCGTTGATTCGTGTGCCTGACTTCCGCGCGAACGTGTGACATGACGGTCGAATATGGAATGAGCAATCAGTGGTAAGCCTGCGAGCGCCGCAGCCAAAAGAATTCATGTTAAAAAATCACCGATGCCTCGATAAATCACTGTTATGACCGAGGGGCGTGTAAGTATGTACAAGAATAGGACTAGAGCGAGTGTGATTTATGTATAAATGATAAATGGCACGGCACAAAGCCTTGCATTGCATTCTCTGATACATAAAGAGTCTATAGAAAATGATAAGCAGGGAAACCTTGTCTGTCTTGTTTTGTTTTGTTTTCATATTTTTTTTCTCGAACGACGGCACCGCCACTTAGGCCGGGAATTACCTGGATGCGTTTTTGGAGAACATCGTAGAAATGCTATTTGGGCATTCGAAAGAACAATGTTTGTGGAAATGGTGGGTGGAAATTCTTGGTCTAAGAGAGCTTATGATCGATAAGCAAGTGCTATCGATTACGGGTACTTGAGGGGGGGGGGCGAATAACAGAGCGAGAAGTGTTCTCTTAATTGGTAATGCAAGTCTTAAGAGCTTATATACGCTGTTCTACTGTCGTAGCACTAAACTATGTTACTTCGAACGAGATTTTAAAAGGGATAAAAAATCTCAAAAATTTCAAACTTCAAACTAGTAAATACTACGTTATAGTCGCTGAAGAAAAAAAGGATACATAAGTTTCTAATACAATATTCTAAAAAGAGATCAACTACGAAATATTTAGAGGTACAGGAGCCTAAGAGGTGGCGCTAAACTATGAAAATTTCACTTTAAAACGTTTCGAAGTTTGCACGCGAAACGGATCTCGGTGATTTTCACGAAATTTCGATATTGAAAGAGATCGTCGGTTATTGGGTGTCCGCCATTACATCCAACAATCCAGATAATTCTCAAAGACGACGGTGGCGACGCCCATCGTACAGTCCACGACGCTTGATCACTCTCGATTTTAAATTAAAACCGTTGCGTCCATTGTTCTACGAAGTAAACTGTTTTACCGACAGAGAATATATTACGAAAATAATTTTCTTAAATCTGTAAAGATATTCAATTTAATTACCTTCTAATCGAGTAAATAAAATAAATAAAGTAACAAATTATCAAAATGTTATTTTATTAAGGTGCTGGATTTATGTAGTTAACTGTTTTACCGACCGAGAATATATTATGAAAATAATTTTCTTAAATCTGTAAAGATATTCAATTTAATTACCTTCTAATAGAGTCAATAAAATAAATAAATTAACAAATAATCAAAATGTTATTTTATTAAGGTGCTGGATTTATGAAGGTAAAATATAATATTTTATACTTTGGTCCAGAAAATCCCCCAAAAATAAGAAACTCATTCACAAAGAACAAAAAAAAAATTAAAAAAAAAAAATGGGCCTTTTGGTTGATATTTCAAAATCAAGGATGCTTGGGAGCAACAAATAATGAGAATAGTGGAAGAAAATTCTACATAAAAACTTTACATGTACACCTTGTATAGGCGTCCAAAGATTCACAGACAAAATTCGTCCAACAATTCTCTGTATTAACACTTTACCGACCGGTAGCGGTTGATTAATCGGCTATCGGTCGGTAAGGGTCGGCCGATAAAACAGTTGATTAATAGGCTATCGGTCGGCAAGCGTTGGCCGGTAAAACAGTCGATTAATAGGCTATCGGTCGGTAAAGTGTTAAGCTCGCATCGTTCCTCGACTCACTCGCCACACTCTAACTCTCTCGCTCGCCGCCGCGTGGCGCTGCGACTACCCAGGACCGTAACTAGCCGATGCACCGCAGTATATAATTGAGAATATATTCAAAATTCATACACTATTGTTCTCAACACATACGGAATATTTTAAAGAGTTCAACAATTGCTAATTAATTAAATAGAAGCTATTTTTCTGAAACTGTCACAATAAAATCTTTTTAATATTCTTGGGCATAAGTTTCTAGTAACTTTTCCTATCTAATTGACCTTAGAGACCCGGTATAAATAAAGGACACGTCTCCATCGAGAGCAAGGAAGCGTCGAGGAGTGTACAAGGTCCTGGTTCAAATTTCAGGTGCGTATCGTGTGTTCGGAAGATAAACTCTCTTCCCCATATATGTGGTGGTGTCGCTCCAAGTCCGAACTCGCGGCGATAAAGCACGTGTCGGTCAAAAAACCCGCGTGATAATGAGTCATCCAACCGCGTGGAGGTGTTCACAAGAGATAAACGGTTTTCAAGGTATGGGATCCGTTGGGGTACGTGGAAACGTACCTTACAAGCAACTCCCGTAGAGTGGCTTCATCGTCCTCCTGTACCTCTTCCTGCGTCTCATTACTGAACGATCCGCGGCTTGGGTGATGATGCTGGTGACGCCTGGCGGTCGTTCTGCCGGTGCTGCCCACTGGATACTGTCCGTGGAGCCCGTGGTGATGGTGGTGATAGTGACCAGTGTTCGTGGAGGCAGAGTGCAGGTAGCGGGCGACGGTGCTGGTTGCACGCCCCCTGGTCAGCTTGAGGCCGGTAGCAGGCGGTAGTACGGCGCCTGTACCGGACTCCACGTAGCTTCTGTGCGAAGCATACTGCTCCTCCTCCACCCTGATGACCTCCTGGCGTACGGCTGATGGCCGATCGGCCGATCTGCTGCGCGATCGCGCGCTGGTCCCGACACTTTTGCTGGTTTTACGTCCGTTGACGCTCCCGGTGCTGATCGCGTACTTGTCGCTACCTTTGCTCTGTCTCCACCAGCTGCTACCGCCGACCTGCGCGCCGAAATCGAGCCTCCCCACCTCCTCCTCTTCCTCCTCCTCTTCCTCGTCCTCTTCCTCGTCCTCCTCGACGGCGGCACCAGCCGGCCCTGGCTCCGTATCCTGGGACCCCGAAAGGCCTGCGATTTCCTCGTAGAGGCACTCCGAATCCGGGTCCGTAGACACTGCCGCGCTCTGCCAGAACTGGTTTATTGGCTTGAAGCCGCGTGAATCGGCCATCGTTTGAGCTACGCCAGGACACAGAGACACAATTTTATGCAATCGTCTTCTTCGTCTTCCTTCAGCCGATTAGCTACAAATGTCGTTCGACTTTCCTTTCTCCTGGGTTTATCTTTTTTGCGATCGACGCGCCACCTGGCTCGTTTTCGCATCTGTTTCTTATAGTACGTCAGGCATTATAGTTTCGGTAAGGAATTTTTTTCTCGAAACTGGGCAGGATTTCGATGGTATGTCTGTTCACCAAAAATAATTGTAATCGACCCCCACAACTAAAAATATTTTTTTGAGAACGATTGGAAATTTTTTTTTTCGCCGAAAAATTTAGGCATTTCCTGAATTTTTTTCTCGAAAGTGGGTAGGAATTCGAGGGTATGTCTGTTCACCAAAAATGATTGCAATTGACCCCTACAACCGACAATAATTTTTTTAGAATGATTTGAAATTTTTTAATTTTGTGGAAAAATTTCACATTTTCTCGAATTTTTTTCTCGAAAATGCGTAGGATTTTTGGGGTATATATATTGACAAAAAGTGATTGTAATTGACCCCCCTAAACGAAAATAATTTTTTTAGAATGATTTGAAATTTTTTAATTTTGTGGAAAAATTTCACATTTTCTCGAATTTTTTTCTCGAAAATGCGTAGGATTTTGGGGGTATATATATTGACAAAAAGTGATTGTAATTGACCCCCCTAAACGAAAATAATTTTTTTAGAATGATTTGAAATTTTTTAATTTTGTGGAAAAATTTCACATCTTTTCGAATTTTTTTCTCGAAAATGGGTAGGATTTTGGGGGTATGTCTGTCCACCAAAAATAATTGTAATTGACTCCCGTAACCGAAAATAATTTTTCCAGAAAGATTTGAAATTTTTTTTTAATTAGGCACCTACCCCCTTGTCGATTTTTCTTAAAAATTAGTTTTTCATTTTTAATAAATTTGTTTGACGCTGTACGGAAATTTTGTTTAATACTTTTTTGTAGGTACCGTAGAGCTCTACTTCAGAAATAAATTTCATTGAAATCCAATCACTATTGTGGAAGTTATGGTCGTTTGAAAATTACACCACTTTTATGGAGTTTTTTCAATGTTTTTGATTTTTAGTAACATTGTTGGACACTGTACGGAAATGTTGTCTAATACTTTTTTGTAGGTACCCTAGAGCTCTACTTCAGAAAAAAGTTTCATTGAAATATATTCACTATTGTAAGAGTTATGGCTGTTTGAAAATTGGACCATCTTTAACGGGGTTTTTCTTATTTTGCGGGGTCATGGATCAACTTTCCGAATATTTTTGCGATTTCTACATACTCTCCATTAAAATACGCGTCGTTCGCATTTTTAAACATTAAAATCCTCCAATTCGTTCAGAAGTTATGACGTTTCAAAGATTCGCATGAAAATTTCTGGCCTCACAATTAGATTATGAAATGGGGGAAAAGCCATTGCTGAAATGAGCCAAAACAAGGAAAAACCGTTTAAAAATCAAAGTTTTTAATTCCAATAATCTGTCCTCAACTTGGTAAATTTTTATTGAAAAAAAAAAAGAATAATATTTGCCATTTTTCCCCAACAGTTTGGTTTCTTTCGAAATTTCGGACTATCACATTTCAAAACGCCCGAAATCTCCACTCGCCAAACGTTTACCGGAAACGGAGCAGGCAGGCGCGCGAATTTCCGGGCGATGTACGCGAAATTGGGGAGAGAACGAGCAAGTTGCTGCAAGATTGTGCTGCAGTAATTAAGCGAGCCGCCCTGCATGCGTCGCCTCGACTGCTGGCGACAATTAAAGTACCACGGTAACGACCATTATTAATATCGTTCGTTGTCGTTAAGTACATTCGAGTTCGTCTAAAATCACAGGCTGCTCGTCCCGACTCTTCGAACAACGCGTAAAAATATTTTATTCGACAATAAAAATTGCAAAATTACCCAGCATACTTCATACCACCCGATTTCTACTGCAGTGACGTATGAGGGAGTATAAAAGCAATGAAAAAGGTTCGCCATGAACACGTGTGCTCTATTCAACCTTGTTCCCAATTTATAGTTTGTTTTGTGCTCTGGTAATACCTAATCACAACTGGTAACAACTCCTTTTATTAAACTGTTTGTATACTCGATAACTTCTTTATGTCGGCCTTGTTAAATATTCTTGCTCTATGAGCAAGTTTAGTTCGTCATTTTCTTTGGAAACTTAATTAATTCGTTAATTTCTTGTGTGTTAAAAGAAATAATTAGATTATCCAAAGATCCTCGCGAGTTTTTACATCACGATAATTACAGAAATATTTGTGCAAAAGCAATTTATGAACAGATAATTGTTCTGACATATATATCCGCGATGATGCAATTCTCTCGCGAGAAAGCGCTCGAGAAGCTGCGCCACCTGGCGGTGACATCGCAGTACTGCTACCGGGCGAGGTATCGCGCGGGCGGTTAACGCGTATGCGCGCGCAACTAGACTGGTCGTGTCGCGTGGTCCACCAAACCAGTCGTGCACATGAAATCTTTGCACATAAATTACACGTTAATAACGCGCATCTGAGACATGCTACATAGTCGATGTCCGTCCTAGAGTATGCAGGAATAACGTGTCAAAATTTGAAGAAGATAGGTTCAATAGATCTTGAGTTTTACGCGAACATAAAAATCGTCTCTCTCTTTATATAATAGCATAGATCTCGTCTCGATACGTGAACGCTGATCTCTCGTTATCTCGAGAGAATCGTACGTATCCGGTTATTACGAAACGATTCACAGGCCATTGAATACATTGCCTTTAATTGGCGAACGATCGAGAAGTATTTAACTCACCTTAGAGGGTACGCAAGCCATCGTGCTCGACGATGATATTATCACGCCACGACGTTCCTCGTGCCTTGGTTCGCCAGGATTCCTGCAATTTGCCAGAGAAAATCGACTCTGTCGACCACCGTGGTAAAGGATAGAGAAGGACGTGAACGAGGGAATCAATAGGATTTCCAACGCGATGTCATCACCGATGTATCAATAGGTTCGAGGGGCCACGGCACTTCCTCCTGGGGGGGGGGGGCCCTCCTATGGTACAAGACGATGTACTCTAAAAACCTGCAATGCAAAGAAAAACACGTTAAAATAACGGCACGAAGTTCCTACAATCTTATATTTTCTATTTCGTAATGGTTCAAGCGTTAATTCGTGTTAGAAATTGCTACTTGATCTTTGAAACTTCTGTTAGAAAAAAAATATATATTATAATATATTTTTAAATTCTTCTTGATACAAAGTGTATCTAGTAACTGAACTGAAGTTGGAAAGAAATTAGTAAGTATCGATTAAAAGACAGTGCAATAACTGCATCGAAACAACTTTATAGTAGCAATTAGTACAAAATTGTTCTCTAACATTTTTTCTTAATTTTGCTTAGAATAGAAGTATTTTATATATTTATAGTTTGTCTAAAATTGCATAGAAAAAGATTATCTGCTAACAAAACATAACGAAAAACCTCATCGAAATTCCATTAATTGTTACAACGCAACATCAAACTACTTATCATTGCGTCACCAATCAATGGACAACGTAAACTTTGTCAAAATCCCTCAACAAACAGAACAATAACAATGTCGTTTGCAATTGCATCATTGCTAATTATTTGTGAAACAATCTCTTCCCAAATATGTAGCGTTGTGCAATGCGTTTAGGCGGCCATATTGGAACGAAAGAACGCCGGGGAAAAAAGGAACTATCATCGTTCGAAGAATTGAGAGAGTTATTTCAGAGGCAAAAACGTTAATTGCAGAAACGAGAGAAGATGTATCGGTTGAATTATTGCGAGTGGAAAGAATGCACGCGTTTAATATTGCCCGAACATTGTGAAAAATAAAGCTCTTGCGTCGAAGAATCGTGAATGCGTATTGGCACAAAGACGCCGGTAAACACGGTCGAGTGACGTGTAATTACAGCCCGCAGCGCAGGTGTAATTTCCAATACGACCTTGCCTCGCGACTACGGCCGTTCGAGTCCGGAATTCCCACAGCAGATTGTCCTAGAACAGTTTACTTGTAAAGTAGGTGGCGCTTTAGAATCCAAGATGGCCGACAAAGCAAATACTCGAGGGGATATTCCGAGCATTTTTCAGCGATCGATTTCTCTTTCTTGCATTCTCTTGTAAGATTGATATTTTTTAAATTCTTTTCTTGTAAAGTAGGTGGCGCTTTAGAATCCAAGATGGCCGACAAAGCAAATACTCGAGGGGATATTCCGAGCATTTTTCAGCGATCGATTTCTCTTTCTTGCATTCTCTTGTAAGATTGATATTTTTTAAATTCTTTTCTTGTAAAGTAGGTGGCGCTTTAGAATCCAAGATGGCCGACAAAGCAAATACTCGAGGGGATATTCCGAGCATTTTTCAGCGATCGATTTCTCTTTCTTGCATTCTCTTGTAAGATTGATATTTTTTAAATTCTTTTCTTGTAAAGTAGGTGGCGCTTTAGAATCCAAGATGGCCGACAAAGCAAATACTCGAGGGGATATTCCGAGCATTTTTCAGCGATCGATTCTCCTTTTTCTTGCATTCTCTTGTAAGATTGATATTTTTTAAATTCTTTTCTTGTAAAGTAGGTGGCGCTTTAGAATCCAAGATGGCCGACAAAGCAAATACTCGAGGGGATATTCCGAGCATTTTTCAGCGATCGATTCTCCTTTTTCTTGCATTCTCTTGTAAGATTGATATTTTTTAAATTCTTTTCTTGTAAAGTAGGTGGCGCTTTAGAATCCAAGATGGCCGACAAAGCAAATACTCGAGGGGATATTCCGAGCATTTTTCAGCGATCGATTCTCCTTTTTCTTGCATTCTCATATACGATTGATATTTTTTAAATTCTTATTTAATCGAAATTCTTAAAAATAACGCTACTTCAAACGTTTTATTGATTTTATTGATATGAACATTTCACAGAGTTGTTGAAAGTTGAAGAACACATAGAAAACTATACAAAAATGGATAAATCAATGTTTCAACGTCTAATTTTGCGTGATAATAAATTAGTTATTAGTTTAGTCGATCGAAATCCTGAAGAACAGTAAAATAACGCGTTTTCGAAATTCCGATCGCTAAATATTAATTCAAGATGGCGTCTCTAACACTTTGACAGTTTTTCATATTTAGAAATATCCTCAACATTTATTCACATTATTATAATGTGAAAAATAGAAATATTTGATACCTAGATGGCGTAGCTATCATTAATAAGCATCCTCCATTGCACCAGTGACCAACATAACAGACAAAACCTACTATAACATTAGAATGTCCATTTTTATGAATAAATATCAGATATTATACGAAACAAGTAAATTGATTTATCTCAAAATAAATTAAATTAAATTAAAGTATAGAACATAACCTATGAGCATTTAAAGGACATTTGCATTTCTTTCCTTTCAATTAGTTTATGGAAATATGACTGTAAGAAATTCAAATTCAATTAATTTACATTAATAGAATTAAATTAAACTTTCAATCAATTTACATTAATAAAATTCAATTAAATTTTCAATTCTATATATCAAAATAAATTTTTAATCCTATCGATAGATGGTGCGCCATTTTGCGACCACTTTTGGCTAAAAAAAAGGGTACAAAATGGCTTCCATTTCCCCGGGAGCCTTTGCTTTGCATGACCAAATTATTTATGTATAAAACTACAATTAATATAACAGAAATAAAGTGATATAAATATTGAAATATTCTAAATATTTTGTGGACAAATGAAACTACTGACACATGGCACAGAGTACAATATATCGTCGTTACTCCAATTATCATACTGAGATACAGATAAGGGAATTCCACCTAGTTATCTTTTATATTACTCGATCAACTAAACAATCAACTAAGCCCGACAGTACACAATCTAAATTTCAAAGAAACTCGTGTCGTCCAACGTTTTTAAAAGTTCAACGACCTTTTTATAAAAGTATATATTTTCTCTGTTTTATCATCTTGCAATACTTTCACTAAAATCGTTACTATTCAACAATTTTAGCAATCATATTTTAAATCTATTGATATCCTCCATTTGCAGTAGAGCAGTAAAAAGCCTAGTTACTTTTTGTTACCATATTTAGTAATTTTCATTTGGAAGATTCATCAAAATTATTCTTCAATTCCTGTTCTTTTCTATTTCTATCAACAATCAGACTTATAGTCTTATGAACTGACATGATAACGTACTTATTGTCATCCAGGATCATAGAACTTTATCATAGCATTTTTAATACGACACTATGAGGTCTCCTCCACGGTGAACTAACTAAATAGCGTATGGTACAAACGAGCCCAAACGAAAGGTCACGGGGAACTCTTTAATCTACACTTTCACCTGAACTAGAACAATTAATTCTCAGGATAAAATGTTAAAGTTGAAATTTGAACAGAATTCATGAATTTTCGTGAGGTTATAAAAATTTTAAGTTATGTAGCTTATAATTGTCTGAAATCGAAGTTTTGGTCCCGCAAAGAATTCTATAGTTTTGGTCCGGCAAGTAAATGTGTTGATTGCATAAAAATCCACAACGAATGGCAACAATGTAATCTCGCGATACGCAGTTCTAGAACGTTCTCTTCCAACTTACAATTTCTAACCGTCAACGATCGAATCGATATCCAGGTTCCCAAGTATGACAATAGGACGGTGCACGATCATTCGCAAGAGTTGCGACAGAGGAACACCAGATGGCGTCTCTTATAACCGTTACGAAAGAAAACATGCAACACCGCGTCTCAAAGAATTGCGCGCGACTAACGGGTTCCGTTGTTGGGAGATTAAACGAAATTCAGAGGACTTTCTCCCCCTCCTTACGCCGCGACCGATCGCTTTCATTCGCTGTCCCCGTTTGTACGTGTCTGCTCGCTGTCCAGTTTTTCAACGAGTCTTTCTCGCTGTCTTCTCCCGTACCTTGCCCAGTCTGCATCCAATGAATGATTAAACGCTCGGCTGGTAACCACGAAACGCGAGCAAGAGAGAAGGAATTTCCCTATCGTGTGTCTTTCTCTGCTTTGCGTAGCTCCCGTCAGGAGCGCCCTTGACACAGCCCAGGGGCCCCGTGGCAAATTTCTTGTCGCCCCCCTCCATCACTTTACGTGGGTCATATACACCCCACTAGACTGTTCCCGTACATGACACGTTTGATATTTTCGTTTATTCAGTTATTAACACTGGATTGTCCAAGGAAGCCATTTTTTGACTGCTTTTCAATTTCAATTTGACACAATTTCTTAGAATTTTTAGACTTTTTTACAACATATAAATGCGTTAATATTTATATTTATATTTATAAATATGTTTATTTTAATATGTTATATATCATTTTTTTTTTTTTAATTCTCGGGGATTCGAACTCGAGACCTCAAGAACCGAAGACAAGCGTCTAACGCATGCAGCCACAGAGGACTCTAATATGTAAATATATATAATTTATATTTATTATATTTTATTGTTATTATAATAATAAATAGTTCGATAATAATCAAACTAGTCAATCTAGATATAGTAAATATAGTATTATATATAGAAATTAATTCAGAGCTTCTAAAATTGAAATATTTGCTCTCCGAAATATTTATTACTGTTTTTGATGGTTTTGAATCGTCTTTGGCGAAAAATAGATGGCGGTTTCGAGGTAATGAAATCATGAATGGGTTTGTTGCACCTCTTTCGATGTTTGAAAGTGCGTATCTAGGCAAATGATGTTGGGAGCGACCTGAATAGACGATAGTCAAATGAGGCCAGGTCAAGAGAATAAGCCGCGGGCGGGAGAGGATTTTACCAGCCTAAGGAACAAATTATATCTTTTGTCCCTTTTCGCGACACGTAGTTGAAGGGCTGTCTTGCTGCTAGACCAATGAAGGGTCTTTTTTTCAAATTCGATACTAATATCACTTCATTCAATATCGGTACACTCATTTAGCTAAACACACACACACACACACCTTCTACCATAGACTACACTATACTTCTAATAATAATAATACTCTTTTTTTAATATAATGCATGGCTTCCAATCATGTCCAAATTAAATACAATTATAACCCAACTGATAAT